ATTATCCACTCAAACATGCCATTGCCATTTGCCACACATTGGTGATTATGTTTTTACGTGTTTTCTGATGTAAAATAAACACTTAAACAGTATAGTACTTGGACTTGGATAAAGTTGCAACGGTAACAACAAAAAGAAAAAAAAGAAGTAAACCTAACAAAAGCTTGTGTTAGAAGTTAGATACATACAAAAACTAAAACAATTTTTTCGAAACCGGTTAACCAATTTGTTTTGATAAATTTGTATTCTGATCTTTATTTTATTTTTTACACAATTTTGTAACGTTTGAAGTTTTTAAATTTAAATTTGCTGAGAAGTTTCCGACAACTTTTTTTTTTTTGAATATAAAAAATAATTGATCATTTTAGTCATGGCATTATGTGTTAGACAAATCAAATTTGATGATATGTACCTTTGACGTCAGTGTAATAATATCCACTATTTGTGCCGAAATTTAGGACTGGTCTCGTGAGAGTGGATAATTCAATTATGTCAGAGATTAACGAAAATAAATTATAAAGTTACAAACTTAAAATGACAAAAGACAAAAAAAAAAACATTGAAACATATTCATGTTACCAAAAAAAAAAAACAGAAAACAAATCTTTTTTTGTTTCGGTGGAAATAGAAAACAAATCTTTAAGAAAATAGTAATAAGAAAAAGATTAGTGTGGGAAAAGGAAATTACCTTTTCAATGTTATTAAAACACGCGAGAGTAGCACGAAGAAGCAGCAGCACACTTCTCAAGATCTCTCACTCTCTCTCTTTGCTCTGCTGCTATAATCACTCTCACTACTCCTAGAGAGGAGAGAGATCATTCTACAGTTCCAAAACGATATCATTTCCAAGACTGTAAGCTTCTTTATCCTTTGCTTCCTCGTCTTCTCCAATCGTAGTTTTATTTCCCTTCTTTCGTATTGATTTTAAATCTCTTCTTCTGTTTCTTGTGTGTACCGACACTGTAAAGATTCTTTAATGTGTGTTCTTCTTTCCCATTCTGACATCTCATCTTCTGCTTCTTCTTCTTCTTTTCTTCAGTGGTCAATAAAGATCTGATTTTTTTTTTCAAAAACCGGTCTGTATCTTAATTAGAAGAAGAAAGATTTGATTTTTTTCAGCTCATTCTGTTAATTTTGCTTCTGTAATTCAACTAAAGTTTTCAGATTTGCCAAGTGTTGCACTTTTTTAGATTCTTGTTCTTGTTTCTTCCAGCTGACCATTGTTTCTTGCAATATTTGATTTGATCTACAATGGAACAGTTCCTGTGGCTAAGAGCTTAGATCTGATTCTCTGCAGTTGTGTTGAGAAGAAGAAAAATGGGGACTCTGAGTAAAGTGTTATGTCTTGTGCTGCTGTGTTGTGCCGTGGCTGCTGCTGAGGGTACTTTGAAGTACAAGGACCCTAAGCAGCCTTTGGGTGCAAGAATCAGGGATTTGATGAACCGTATGACTCTCCAAGAGAAGATTGGTCAGATGGTTCAGATCGAACGTAGTGTCGCAACTCCTGAAGTTATGCAGAAATACTTCATCGGTAAGAAGAATTCTGAGGAATTATGTCTGTTTAGTGTTTGTTGTATACTTGTATTGTCTTACTGAGTTTTTTTTTTTTTTGGTAAAAGTTGTCTTACTGAGTTGACACTGTCTGTGGGTTGTTTTTGTGTAGGGAGTGTGTTGAGTGGAGGAGGAAGTGTGCCTTCGGAAAAGGCGACTCCTGAGACTTGGGTGAACATGGTCAATGGGATTCAAAAGGCGTCTCTTTCTACCCGTCTTGGAATCCCCATGATCTACGGTATTGATGCTGTTCACGGTCACAACAATGTCTACGGTGCCACCATTTTCCCACATAATGTAGGCCTTGGAGTCACCAGGCAAGTACTTGTCCTTGAAGGCCTTACTCTGCTTATCACAAAGTTGAAAGAGCTTTGTTGTTGTTGTTAATATTGGTCTTTTATTTGTATGGCTATGAAACTGAAACAACTTTATGTATTGACTAATTTCTTAGGGATCCGAACCTTCTTAAGAGGATTGGTGAAGCAACCGCCCTTGAAGTTAGAGCAACTGGAATCCCATATGCCTTTGCTCCATGTATTGCAGTAAGTATCATGAAGTTTGTTGCAAGTTTGAAATCGCTGTAGAAAAGTGACCAAGAATGTGTATGCTTAATATTTCTGCAATGGGGGTATGGCTTGACAGGTTTGTAGGGATCCAAGATGGGGAAGATGCTACGAGAGCTACAGCGAAGACTATAGAATCGTTCAACAGATGACTGAGATTATACCTGGTTTACAAGGCGATCTCCCTACCAAGCGAAGGGGCGTTCCCTTTGTAGGTGGAAAGTAAGTATATTTTGCCTGTATAAATCCTCTGTGATATGTTTATGGTAGTCACTATATGACGTTCAAGCCTACTAGATGGATATGCAATTAAGGCAAGAACTTATATTAATTAGCTTTATTTTCAACTAGAGTTGGGTAGGATTTGAGTTGCATATGTATGTTGAATCTTGATGATTAAAAGTGAGGAAAATTCTCAGGTCATGTCCACGTGTGCTTTCATTTAGAACGTGGTGGTCAATTTTACAAGTGCAAAGCCATGTGCTACCTTTTAATGGGATCATAAAGGTTCCTCTTAAAGAGTCGTGGTTTGAATTTTCTGCCACTGTAGTAGGACCAGTGTGAATTTATCACTAAACAGTCCCTGTCCAACTAGGTAAATTCTTTTACGTGTGGGGGAGATAGGATAAGCTTATGTCTAATTGAAACTTTTAGTTGTTTCAACTAGATCCATTTCAATCATAACTTAAAATCAATGCATTAGTGTATGATACGAACACAAAATCCATTTACTTACCAACATGTGCTTGCAACTGTCACAGGTCAAAAGTCGCAGCTTGTGCTAAGCATTTTGTAGGTGATGGAGGTACTGTGAGAGGGATTGATGAGAACAACACGGTGATTGACGCGAAGGGGCTGTTCGGAATTCACATGCCTGGATATTACAACGCTGTAAACAAGGGTGTTGCAACAATTATGGTGTCTTACTCTGCTTGGAATGGTTTGAGAATGCATGCTAACAAGGAACTTGTCACGGGTTTCCTCAAGAACAAGTTGAAGTTCAGAGTAAGAAAATGATACATGTGGATGCATTTGATCGTCTGTGCTTTGGTCCTAAGGCCCTTCTTTCTCTTTTGCTGCAGGGTTTTGTCATCTCAGATTGGCAGGGAATTGATAGGATCACGAATCCTGCACATCTGAACTATTCTTACTCTGTTTATGCGGGAATCAGCGCTGGAATTGACATGGTTGGTCTCAAAGTGATTCTAGCTCTTTGGTATGCCCTCCATGCTTGCTTAATTATTGTGTGTCTCTTTAATTGCAGATTATGGTGCCATACAACTACACCGAGTTCATAGACGAAATCAACAGTCAGATACAGAAGAAGCTTATTCCGATAAGCAGGATCGATGATGCCGTGAAGAGAATCTTAAGGGTCAAGTTCACAATGGGACTCTTTGAAGAACCTCTGGCTGATCTCAGCTTTGCAAACCAGCTTGGTAGTAAGGTCTGTTATGTTTGTCTTCTGTTTAGCCATTGTACCATTTGTTACAAAATCATCAGTATGAAACTGAATAAAACACTTGAACAGGAACACAGGGAACTAGCTCGTGAAGCCGTGAGGAAATCTCTAGTGCTGCTCAAGAATGGTAAGAAAGGCGCTAAACCGCTGCTTCCTCTGCCTAAGAAAACTGGGAAAATTCTTGTTGCGGGAACACACGCTGATAACTTGGGATATCAGTGTGGTGGTTGGACTATCACATGGCAAGGCCTTAAAGGCAACGACCACACTGTTGGTATGTTTACTCAAAAATATATTCTTTCACCTTTTTTGGCTTGATTGCAGCCATATCATTAGCTAAGTCTGCCCACCCATAGTACGAGCAAATACCATAGATGTATACATTCTTGACTTTGGTTTACTTACTTACAGGTACAACGATCCTTGCGGCTGTTAAAAATACAGTGGCACCGACCACACAAGTAGTCTTCAACGAAAACCCCGATGCAAACTTCGTCAAGTCGGGTAAATTTGACTATGCCATTGTGGTTGTTGGCGAGCCACCTTATGCTGAAATGTTTGGGGACAGCACAAACCTGACCATAAGTGATCCTGGTCCAAGCACGATCAGGAACGTGTGTGGATCCATGAAGTGTGTGGTGGTTGTAGTCTCTGGCCGTCCTGTGGTGATTCAGCCTTATGTTTCAACCATCGATGCCCTCGTGGCGGCTTGGCTTCCGGGAACAGAAGGTCAAGGAGTGGCTGATGCTCTGTTTGGTGATTATGGGTTCACTGGAAAGTTGGCTAGGACGTGGTTCAAGTCAGTGAAGCAGCTACCGATGAATGTTGGAGATCTGCATTACGACCCGTTGTACCCATTCGGTTTCGGTTTGACCACAAAACCATACAAAGTGTAGACTCATTTGTAGTTAATTCAGCAAGGAAGAGGAAAAATATTAAGGGACACAAGAAAAATAATTGCGATGAACAATTTTGTGGATTTAAAGCTCATATGAAGGTTGAAACTTTGAGATTGTCTGTCTACAAAGCTAGTGTGTTATAAAGCATCGATCATTTGGTCCAGCTTTTTCTTGTTTGCCCTTGTGAACCTGTATTTCAGTTTAGTAAGATAGTTAACATTTGGGTAATAAATCCAAGGTGAGAGACAATGCCACATGCAGGCGTGTCCGGACATATGCAGGTGCGCATTTGCAAAGGTGACAATGACAAATTTAACATAGACTTGCAAGAAAAAAAATATTCATCTAAAAGGGATGAATCTTTTTGAAGTATTAAATCCAACATACTTCTATGAAACACCTCAACAAGTAAAGAAGAAAAGTATCTAAATTGCACTAAGAAAAGAAACAAATAAACTGCAGTTATATGTATATGGAAACTATTATATAAAGATGATTATTTTCTTTAGCTACTAAGATTTTATTTTATCATATAATTTTCAAAAAAGGGAGAGAATCTGATTTGTTTTTTTGATTGTTACTAGTCAGTAGTCACGGTAATGATATCACACGTCTCTACATAACCTCCCAAGCATAACAAACCCAAGTATAGGCATATCGACAAAATCTCAACCTCAGAACGTTCCTGTCTCAGTCGAGACAACAACGAAAATCTCAACCTCTTAGTGTTGCTTGTCTCATTCGGAAATTGTTATATTCATCAATACTCATCGACTCATCGTTGTTGTCGTCATCATATAGCTTGATCGTCTTCCCCTTCTCAACTGGTTAATCAAAAATCTCACTCTTGACTATTTTATATTTAGTCATCTGCAGCTGTCGAGAGTGAAATAGAGGGCTGACATGGGGAGTTTGAGTTACTTGCTACAGAGGTTAGGCCTTCTGCTACTCTGTTGTGCCGTGGCAGCTAATAAACTACCACTCGCGAGCGCAAAGTATAAGGACCCGAAAGAGCCATTGGGAGTCAGGATCAAGAGCCTGATGAGCCGTATGACACTTGAAGAGAAAATAGGGCAGATGATTCAGGTGGAACGAGTCAATGCCACAGCCGAAGTCATTCGAAAGTACTTCATCGGTATGACTCTGGACCGTCACAACATTGTTAAAACATGTATGAACACTCAACTGTTTCGGAATTATGTTTGCAGGAAGTGTGTTTAGCGGGGGAGGGAGTGTGCCGACGCCAAATGCCAGTCCTGAAGCTTGGGTGAACATGGTGAATGAGATCCAAAAGAAAGCGCTTTCGACCCGCTTAGGGATTCCCATAATTTACGGAATCGATGCTGTTCATGGTCACAACAATGCGTACAACGCCACCATTTTCCCTCATAACATAGGCCTCGGAGCCACCAGGCAAGTTCTTATAGAGAATCCTATTCCAAATGAATAGATAGACCCAAAACGTTGTTTCTTAACTGTTCTGTTATATTCATCTGTTAGGGACCCAGGCCTTGTGAAGAGAATTGGGGAAGCAACTGCGCTTGAAGTTAGAGCAACAGGAATCCAATATGTCTTTGCCCCATGTATTGCAGTAAGTAAATATGATCTTAAGAAAAGCAGAAACATAGTTATTGTAATAATCACTTTGAGCAGGTGTGTAGGGACCCTAGATGGGGAAGGTGCTATGAGAGCTATAGTGAGGATCACAGACTAGTTCAACAGATGACTGAGATCATACCCGGTTTGCAAGGTGACCTTCCCACTAATCAAACGGGTGTTCCTTTCGTCGCTGGAAAGTAAGTACACTTTAATGAATATCTAGAGAAGCAAAGATTGATGGAGTTAAATAGATAACTAGGTAAACTTGCAGGACAAAAGTGGCAGCCTGCGCTAAACACTTTGTTGGAGATGGAGGTACATTGAGAGGTATGAACGCAAACAACACGGTTACTAGTGCAAATGGATTGCTCGGAATTCACATGCCGGCTTATTATGATGCGGTAAACAAGGGAGTTGCAACAGTTATGGTATCCTACTCGTCCTTGAACGGGTTGAAAATGCATGCCAATAAGAAACTTATCACGGGTTTCCTAAAGAACAAGCTCAAGTTCAGGGTAACTTTAATCATTAAAAGATCTGGCTTAAGCAAAGCAGAAAAATATAAACGATTTTAAATCTATTTGCAGGGCATTGTCATCTCAGATTATCTAGGTGTTGATCAGATCACCACACCTCTTGGTGCTAACTATTCACATTCGGTTTATGCTGCTATCACTGCTGGACTCGATATGGTCAGTCTTGAAATGGTTCTTAAGTTTTAAAGATATAAAAACGCTTGATGTGACTAAAATCATCGGGTGCAGATCATGGGTTCATCAAACTTGACAGAGTTAATCGACGAACTAACCAGTCAGGTAAAGCGAAAACTCATCCCGATGAGCAGAATCGACGATGCTGTGGAGAGAATCTTGAGAGTCAAATTCACAATGGGGCTCTTTGAGGATCCTATGGCTGATAATAGCTTGGCCAAGCATCTTGGTAGTAAGGTCTGTAAGATAAAACATTAGTTTTAAGATAGAGAACCCAAGTACTCAACTTAACACTGAAAAAACTCAACAGGAACACAGGGAACTGGCAAGGGAAGCAGTGAGGAAATCTCTGGTGTTATTGAAGAATGGTGAAAATGCAGATAAGCCATTGCTTCCTCTGCCAAAGAAGACCAACAAGATCCTTGTCGCAGGAACACATGCTAATAACTTGGGATACCAATGTGGAGGCTGGACGATCACATGGCAAGGCCTCAGCGGCAACAATCTCACCATTGGTACAAATACATACTTGTCCTCACTCCATTCCATTGAATCATCATCATCATCATATAAAACATTTAAGGTTTCTCAAATCCCCAATAGTAACATGCTACAATCACTCTCATAGCATTTGTTGCTTCTTGTGTATCCAATATGCAATGAGACCAATGCAATAAAATCTGGAATTGAGAAGAACGTTTTACCAAATTAGAAATTGAATTTGCAGGAACAACGATCCTTGCGGCGGTGAAGAACACGGTGGATCGGACGACGAACGTCGTCTACAAGCAAAACCCCGATACTAATTTCGTCAAGTCCGGCGAATTCGATTACGCAATCGTGGTCGTCGGAGAGAAACTGTACGCGGAGGGATTCGGAGACAGCACGAACTTAACCATATCGGAACCAGGTCCGAGCACAATGGAAAACGTGTGCGGCTCGGTGAAATGTGTGGTGGTGGTTGTATCGGGGCGTCCGGTGGTGATGCAGCCTTACATCTCGAACATGGACGCTCTAGTGGCGGCGTGGCTGCCGGGAACTGAAGGTCAAGGAGTGGCTGATGTTTTGTTCGGAGATTATGGATTCACCGGGAAATTGGCTCGGACGTGGTTCAGGACAGTTGATCAGTTGCCGATGAACGTTGGTGACCCGCATTACGACCCGTTGTACCCGTTTGGATTCGGGTTGGTCACTAACCCAATTTAACGCCTTTTGGTTCGTAGATTGTTGCGCCAAACACACAAAATGTTCAAAATGATTATTATTTTAAAAATAAACTTATCTCTACACAATTTTTTTTTGTTTTTTTTTTGTCATAAACACCGCTAGAACAATTTTAGTAAGAAAACAGATGTATTTATGTAAAAAAAAAAACTGAAAATGACGTGAGACATGATCTCAATCAGTAGCTTCTTCGTCGAGCTCCAAAGCTTTGAAATATTTACCATCTAAAAGATACGTTCCAATGGAGAGCCGAACTGCCCACAAGTCCTTTGGTTTTCTTGACACGATTCTGTAATAACCATATCAAAATTAATGTTACATGATGCGTTCAGATTCTAGTTAATCTATTTTGATGTTAGAAATTTACTAGGTTGTAAAAAGAAATGGAGTTTGGATGAAGAAGGAAGACCTTCCAACATCGCCAGGCTTGACCAAGCCAGAGTTAGCTCTAAGGCAAGGCATTGAAGCTGCTGTTTTTATAACTTTAGGGGCTTCCACGATGATGATTGGTGATCCGACTTGGAGCTTTGATTTTGGTCGTGGAGGCTCGTTTGCGATTTCACAGCATCTCACTGTTACTCGTGGGGTGAAGGATCCACTGTAACAAACCCCGGATTGCATCTTGGGAAATCTAGTGGAAGAAGCTACGGAGACAGTCATGGAAGAAGCAAGTGAGAGTTTTTTAGTGGTATGGTATGGTATGAGTGGATAAGTAGACTTTTTTGTCCTGTAGTAATTTGCTTGCAAGCCAATGGTCACCAATCTTCGGTTTTGTCTTGGTTTAATATTTTGAGTTAAACCATCCGGAGTTGGTTTTTCTTTTCTTGTTCGATTGATCACATTTTAATCTGGTCTTATGTTAAAACCTGAGAAACATAACATAAGCTATAATGAAATGGAACCTGTTTCCAACTTTTTCTCAGCTCATGTTCTTCTATTCAAAAACATGAAGAATATACATAATATGTTACATAATAAAAGGAAGCCAGACGAATTATATTCACCCGAAATTAATAATTTTGTTCGAGGGGCCGGGAGATTATATATCTAAACAAACAAAACAAAAGCTTTATAATCTGTACCCAAAAAAATTCTACCATCTGGTCCTTTTGGTATCTCTGGTTTGTTTGTCAAGACTACACACAGTCTCATTTCTTCGAGTAGGAAAGATATGGATCCTGTGCCATCATAAGAACATCAGGCCTCTCTGCTTGGTCATATGTTAGACACCGTCGAATCAAATCCTGGAATAAATACAACAGTGAGAACATGGAGATAACAGTTTCATGACCATTTTATTCCACTTAAATTAAATCAGGATTCAAGACCTAATTTTACCTTTGCTTCATTTGATATGGCAGGTCTTGTTACTGGGAACTCAACCTTTTTGGCTTTAATGATTGTGTCTTCTCGTAGTATCCGTTCTTGGCTTTGGTCATGTCCAAAGGGTCGCTTCCCAAATAGCATTTGGTAAAACAGAACACCAACCGACCATACATCAACCTGAATGTCAAGACAGTTTAATACCACAAAAATTCTATAACACAATCTTATAAGGACATCATTGACCAACCACTGACCACTGACCTTTGATGAGATCATAGGAGTTTTGCTAAGCTCAAAACATTCTGGGGGGAGGTACCTGAATTACAGATCCTTGTTAGAAGGGACTTAAAAAAATGTGACCATATCAAGGAGACGAAACTAGATTGCTCACCAATATGTTCCAGCTCCCTGTGATGTAAGCTCCATTCCTTGAGAACCAACATTGTCCTCCACTATCTTGCTTAGACCAAAATCAGTCACTTTTGCTACTCCAAACTCATCAAACAGAACATTCCCCGGCTTCAGATCATAGTGGATTATCTTCTGTGACTTTTTGTTTAGATATACAAGGCCTTGAACTATTTGCACAATGATGATCCTCGCCTCTTTCTCAGGAAGATTAGGTGTTGCCTTTAAAACAGCATCAAGGTCTTTTCCTGCATTAGAAATTCAAAACATAAAAGTGAGAACTACACTCCAATATAAGATCCTTGTTTTATCTACCAAGAGATGAGAGAATTCTGATTTACCACTACAATATTCCAGAACAGTACAGAATGTATGCATGTCGATATGAAATTTATCCCAAAGCCTAACAATGTGATGATGCACGAGACTTTTATGGATTTCACATTCCCTGTTGGCATGGCGGATGTAACTTTGCTTCTTTTCTTCACTCCACTGAGCATTTAAACCATGAAGCTTGCACGCAACATATCTATGATCCACCAAATCATATGCCTGTTTAAAATCCATAAGAATAAAAATTAGTGCAAAACATTTCTCACTTGTAAAAGAATGTAGTATCTATCAATGTTCTGACCTTATAGACTTCACTAAATCCGCCTTTACCAAGAAGATTTAAAAGAGCATATCGGCTATTCAAAACTGGGAAATTGTTGAAACGAGAATTATCTTCATCTCGTATGCGCTTCATCTCCCTCATAAGCATCCCCTTCTCCAATGTGTACCTTTCTCTCTCACGCAAAACAACATCCTCTTCCTGAAAGGTAAAATCAATGGATGTATGATGCATAACTCATACCCAATCCAACATAGAGGAAACAAGAAGCTGAGATATCCATAAGGAGGAACATACCCGCTTAATACTAGCAAGACGAGACTTGTAAACCTCGTCAGGGATGACATCTTCCTCCTGTGCTCCAGATTCTGTGTCATTTCCGTCACTCTTATCTACAACCAACAAGGGTACTAAACATCATAACAATTTGCAGAAGGAAAATATCACAACTCTCATTACATGAGATCGCAGATTCACTGAAAAACTAAGATGATTGGGGTAACATACCACCATTTTGTCGTTTCTTAAGGAGCTTTCTTTGTCTCTCAATAGCCTCCTTCGTTTCCAGCAATTGTCTCTTCTCGTTGCAAATTTATAGAAACATCAAAACAGTTACTTCAAAGATTATTAGTTTATTAAAAATCCCCTGATACACAGCTTAACTTACAAGTTGAGCATTCAGATCTTTCAACATTTGGCCGTCCTCCCATGTTTCAGCTATGATAGTTCCAGTCCTGAAAACACCAAAATAGCCACACAGCTGATGGAGTGAAATTTTATCACAAAGCAAGAAACTAACCAACTAACCTTGTAACCTAACAAAGAAGAGAGCTGCAGGTTGAAGAGAAACGTGAACAATAAATTTATATTTAAAACTCTACTCGAGTTGGTTTTAGTGATTTTACTAGAAAGCAAACTTTATTTGCTATATATGTTTTATTATACCTCCCCGTAAATTATAGTCTCAATAATTGTGATAAAAGAGCACATACATGAAGGATATATTGGATAGATACTACGACCAAAGGAACTTATATGAAAATCTTAGGGCAGACCTGAGAACACCAACACTGCCTAATCGAAGAGAATCATGTCTGACTTTCGTTCTTGCTTCTAGTCGCTCAGTTTTGGAAACAGATATGAGGAGGTCAGAGATTACTTTGGTCGTCTGCCATAAAGAAAAAGAAAGGTTCAAAGCTCGCAGTAAGCATAGACCATATAAATCCGCAAGATTTGCATAAGATCTTAAGAATATCAGAGAAAAGCAGCCATAGAATATTGATAATTGCTTCATTACACTAACGAGAATATTGCTGGAGGGTGTGCAAAAGTTTCTGTCAATTTAAGTACTGATATGAAGATACCCAGTTCGTTCAAAAAATCGTTTCAGTAGGACTGATTAAAAGGCCAAATGTTTATACTTATTTGTTACTTGGCTCCACATTCAATACACCTAGACCTTATCCGCTATAGATTGCATGTCATTTTTACCTACAGAAATACTAATAAATGCTTTATGAAAAGAGCTCACTGGAAAGAGTATATATGTGACAGACAATTGCAAGATCCAAGCCTTCACAGAAATTTCAGTTCTACGTAATTTTAGTGAGCATTCTACGTAAATCAGGAGACTATCAATGATTTACCTTCCTCAGCATAGAACTACAATGCTTCTAATGAGGAAAATTAATAACAGTAAAAGTAACTATGCCATAGTAAATTTAACAAACTCATAAAAGTTTGCCTACCTTTTGCTTTCCTTGTTGTTCCAGATCTTTTAGATCTTTTACCTCCTGCATAGATCATTATAAGGATCATAAGCAGAGCAGGGGAATGGGAACATACAAAAATGGTGAAATCATAAGCAGGATTGGCTAAATCTGAAAGGCATTCACACAGTACATTCTCGAGCATCCTGACAAGGTGGTGATACTCAGAAGAATCTTTTCGAGATTTACACAATTCCTCCTCCAGCACAGCTATTTTTGCACGCAAAGATGTCACGTCTTCCTGATTTATAAACAAGTAACAAAATAGTGAACAAAGAAAGATATAACTATGCAACTTATTAGATGCAGAGAAGCCCTAAAAACTGAGACAATATCATATTTTTCGATAGTACAAAGTAAAGGACATTAGAGGAGAAATTTACATCCTGGAAAGAGCATTCACCATTCCTGGGCAGTCCATCAGACCTAGAATCCTGAAAGATATATATTCAACGATAAATCTACATCGGGTTGCCAATATCAATGCAAATCCAGATAAAAGACTCTCTCTAAAAAAAGTGGGAAAGGTTATCATAATTCTTTCTTGTCCTGCTAAATTGTTCACATAGGCCAATTAAAAAGGTTTTTACTTCAGTTAAGAACATCAAAGTCATGCCGACGTTTTGTCAATGATATTAAGTCCAATATATGTTAAGCCTCATGAACACAAGAATGGTTGCATGTAAGATCAGATGAAGTAAAGAAGAATAACCTTTTGATCAGAGAGATCCAGTTGACTTGCAGATGATACTGGTGCAACCAAAAACTGAGATTTTGTCACATCATTATTAGCTTTAGAACCACGCCCTCTGCCTGTTGATGTAGCTCGACCTCGACCTTGTTTCTTCTTAGTTACATCAAGGCCTGTCTTGGACTCAGCATCATTTTTTCTTCCATCATATGCTGCCTCTTGGATCTTCAGTTCAGCCTTATTAGTTAAAAAGAAATACGAGGAAACAAAACTTACATCACAATAAGCTGTATCAACACCACATAGAAACCTTATACAAAGACACACCAAAAAAATCATCAACCAGGTAAGAAACAGATTCTTTACAAAACAAAAACACTACCTCAGCATGATCAACAGCAGTAAAGTTGTTAGACTCTTGAACTTTCTGCCGCTTTTTGGTATTGGCTCGGATTAGGAAATCTCCTGTATTCTGAAACAGTAACAACAAGGATAAAATCTAGATAAATGGAATGTATCTCTTGTTCAAGAAAGAAATATAGATGCATCTGCAATGCCAAGATATGTAACCAATATTGCATAAAACTTTGATCAATACAAGGAGCTACAGAGGATACGGACATCAACAAGAACAAGTGGAATAATTAAATTACCAACGACGCTTAAACTCACAACAATCATAGCATAGACATAACATTCAAAATTGACAGACATCAGGAGCTACCTCGTCGTCTGAATCACTGATAGAGGTTTCCGACAATCCCGGCGGTGTGGAGGTCACGACTTTGACAGCGGCAGAGGCAGATGACCAGACAGAGACCTGCTGTTGTTGCTGTTGTGGCTTCGCCAATGAAGGGGTCTTACCAGTCAAGCGGGCCTCAAGCTTGGCGATTTTGTCGGGCAAAGAGTGATCCGACTGATTAGAAGAATTCGAGGAGAAATGCATCACCATGTCATCCGACATTGCCAAAACACTTCAACGGACCACACTCCCTAATCTACCCAGATCAGCCAAAGCTCAGGGGGAGAAATTAGGTTTTTTTACGGAATTGAAGGCTAGAATCTGGATGCCAAAGAGAAACCCATCAACAAATTTTCAAGCTTTTTCTGCAAATCCACGTGGAGGTAAGAGAATATAAAACGTACAGAGAAAGATAGTAGAGAGATTAGAGAAGGTGGGAAATGTTTGTTATTTGAAGAGAAAAAAAAAAAAAAAAAAAAAAAAGAACAAACTGAGGAACCCTAAGGAATTAGGAGGGAAAGAGTTATGGGGTCTCGGGGGGTCACACAAGTTCTCTCTTTAGCACTCACTGTGAAACTCAAACCCATTTGGGTGCATCAGATTTATTTTTAGCCTAAATATATATTTTGAGAGGCTTCTTGAGTCCTATGGGTCTTGCTAATCAATTTGGGAAGTTTACCAAGACCAAATAAAAATATATATAATTGGGAAGTCTACTTTTTTCTTTTCTTTTTTTTTTCTCTTTTAACTTTTTCCATTTTGTATTACGAATAATGGTTGACCATAACTAGGGTTTTAATTTCTGTACATTCGAGGTTATTCTATAAAATTAAAACGATACAAAACACCAAGAAAAAAGTTTCTAAAAATACCGGTTTTAAATTCGAGAGACTGATTACATAATAAATATATATATTAAGTATTTTTTTTTAATTAGAAAATCCAATCTTCACTTAAAAGGATACAAGATATTACACACAACATTAACTTTTTTAAAAAATAAACGGAAAAGTATATATAATATATAATTTTTGGTATACTATAATATCAGAGTTTATTAAATTTTCATTCAATCTTTTTGTTTTATAAATAAAACTAAATATTGCTCAAAACATTTTTGTTATACACATCAGAGATTTTTTTATTTAAGTTTCTCTTTTGTACCTTTCTTTGATATTTATGTGATATTCAAACTGTAGCTCGTGTCTACATAAACTAGCTTAATAAATTTAAATAGTACAATAATAAAATTTAGTAATTCAGAATAAATAAGATATGCTAGATTATTATTTATGACATGGTGATTCCATTCTTTATTAGTTTCATATATATTTAATTAAATATATATATATATATATATATATATTTAGTAACTTCTAATTTATCGATGCCTTCAAATCCGGAGGTACCTAAAATATCTCTGGAATGTGTCTCCATATCGATCTACTAACCCGTCGTCTAGAATGTGTCTTATTAAAAACATCATATAATTAGTACGGGAAAATTGCAAGAGATACGGCAAACAGAACTGATGCTTTTATTTCATTTATAAAAGTTAATTGGGATAACAAAACACCTTCCACCAGTCAAACAGTCTTATTGTACTTTGATTAGGGAGCACAATGTATGAGTTCTTATATTGTAGAACCAAGTGGAAGAGTTTAGTTGATTTACCTATACGTATTTGATCACATTAACAAATTTTCAGAGAATGAATCAGTCAACAAACCAGGAGTCATTTAGGCTGATGATAAAGAAAACAGAGAAACCAAGAACACAGTTACACAAATATTGATTCCAGTTCCATCATATGAATTCTTATGCAATGGCGACTTTTCGTAACTACTGTTCTGATGAATTTTGGTAGCTAGCATCACCAAACTGCTTCAACTCCGAGTTATACTCCGGGTCACTCCAGTTCTTGATGTTGCCACAGGGAGCTTGAGTCTTACAAGCTTTGTCAATGTAAGCTGTGTAAAGAACATTCTCCTTCACTAGTTTGTACCACGAGGGAAATGGAAAGGAAAAAATACTGAAAACAAGAAGAAGAATGAATCTGATAACCAGATACCTGTAAAAATATATTACCCGATTTTGTATAGAAGTAGATGTTAAGGAGACATTATATATAAAGATATGTTACAAAGGAGACCATTATATGTATGTAAACATAAACCAAAGAGAAACCATAACTACTTCTATCAGACTCCCATTCTTCCCCTGATTAGGCAAAAATATGTTATAATAAACTATTCAAGCACAACACATTAATCTACTTAACAATCCAAATAACATAGTTCAATTATATTGTGCAGACCGCGAGTCAAGCTCCATTGAGTCTTCTGCAGCTTCTTCATTCCTCAACTTCATCGTAGCCAGCTGATTAGCGGCTTCATGACTCTCAGAGGTACCTAGAGGTGAGGAGATTTGAGTTGGAGGTTCTGGACTCTGAATCTGACCCTTGAAACTGGAGCACCCCGTATCCTCCTCATTAGCAATCTTACGCATATTTGGTATAACGTTTGAACTCTGAGTCTGACCGACGAGACTAAAGCATCCGGTAGCCTTATCAAAGCTTCTTCTAACAATAGCAATGCGATCAAGATTAGCCTTGTAAAAGTCCTTGTACCTAATGTAGAAAACTGCATTATTGGCATTGAGTCCTTGTCCCTCATCATTGGTAGCATCAATGGCCACGTCTACAATCTCCAAGTCGGCGAGACCAGCATCCTTAGGTTCATTATGCCTATCAGTTTTGGCAACAGCAAGTTCCAAATATAGACGAATCCAGGGATTCTCTAGCAGCTCAGATTCCTTCACCTGATGAGACCAAAAGCAAAAACATATAGGGGTCACTAATTTATGGTCGAGGATCATACATAGGGGGATATAGTTGTGTGTCTTAATCAATCATATCCTCATACCAGGTAATATGTATCAAAAGGATTCAATGGCGGGCACTTAGGTAAGCTACTATCTATCCTCCTCAAAAACCCTGTGCCATCTCTTGGTTCCCCTATACTAAAATCATTTTAAAAAATCAGAATTTTTATGATTTCACAGGGTGTAAACAAATGAAGAGTGTTAAAAAAAGAAGCACCTCGAATTATTGCAATATGGCAAGAGAGAATAAATTTGCCAACGCTTTTTTCTGAAACTTTAGTCTGGAAAGTTTGAAGGGAACCAGCTGGATCAATTGCATCCAAAGTGATGTAGTAAGAAGCAGCAGCAGAACCAGTCGACTTCACGTATTTCTGTACGCAAATCAGCTCAAACTTTGTACCCTGCTGAGAGAGAAACGAATCACTGGAATTAAGAAATTGAAATTTTAGCATAATAATAGCCCTTTTAGAGAACTGTATTGCTTAACCTTGACGAAATTGTAACGATGAAGGCTCATCTCCGCATAGAGGAAGGGAATGGGAGGACAAGTAAACCGTTGATTACATAATTCTACCATATATCCGTACGTAGTAGCCTTGAGATCGAAAACCTAAGTTGAAGAAGAAGAAGAAGAAGAAGAATGGTTACAAATATAATAAATACGGTTCTTGCTTAGATGATTTTGATCGAGTATAATAAAATGGATCAGATGAAAGAATTACTTACACCGCATTCTTCGACTAGTTTCCTAGAGGCCTCCCTCGCAAGATCCTTAGACGCCTCTATCGCTATGTATGCGCGCTGCTGCATTATCACTCCGATTTCAGGCGATGAAGATGATGATGATGCTTTGCTTTTGGTCGCGATAATAAATATATCCATCTAAATTATGGGCTTCATTTGGGCCTTCACAATCCAATAAGAAACCAAGGATTTGACACCGTGATTCCCTTCTCAACTGCTCTCATGTCTCATGTCTCAGACTCATCCACCGTTCAAAACACATTTTGATTCGAGCGTTTTGGTTCCTTTACTAATGTATCTATGTGCCAAGAGGGAAATGAAAAGGAAAAAGTACTGAAAGAAAGAAGCAGAATGACTTTGATACGTGTAGTTTTATATATAAAACGATTTTATAGATAATAGATGTTACAAAGGAGACATTATATGTAAACATAAACCACAGAGAAACCCTCAACAAACCATAACCATGACTTCGATAAATTATTCAAGCACAAGTGCATTTAAAGAGCCACAATCCAAATATCTTAGTTAATTATCTTTTAAATAGTTAATAGTCAAGCACCATTGGTAGCAGCATCACCAAACTGCTTCAACTCCGAATTATACTACGGGTCATTCCAGTTCTTGATGTTGCCACAGGGAGCTTGAGTCTTACAAGCTTTGTCAATGTAAGCTGTGTAAAGAACATTCTCCTTCACTAGTTTGTACCAAGAGGGATATAGAAAGAAAAAATACTGAAAGCAAGAAGAAGAATGAATCCGATAACTCAGATACCTATAAAAATATATAACCCGATTTTTATATATAATAGACGTTACAAAGGAGACATTATATGTAAACTTAATCCTCAGACTCCCATTTTTTCCCTAATTAGGCAAACATATGTTTAATATATTATTCAAGCACAGCACATTTAAAGACCAATCTATCTGACAATCCAAATAACTTAGTTAAGCATCTTGTGCAGAAGGCGAGTCAAGCTCCATTGAGTCTCCTGCAGCTTCTTCAACTCTCAAGTTCATCATAGCCAGCTGATTAGCCTCTTCATGATCCTCAGAGATACCTAGAGGGGAAGAGATTTGAGTTGGATGTTCTGGACTCTGAATCTGACCCTTGAAACTGGAGCATCCCGTATCCTCCTCATTAGCAATCTTAGTCATATTTGGTATAACATCTGAACTCTGAGTCTGACCGACGAGAGTTAAGCGTCCCATAGCCTCATCAAAGTTTCTTCTAACAATAGCAATTCGAACAAGATCGTGACCAGGGTTAGCCTTGTACAAGTCCTTGTACCTAATGTAGAAAACTGCATTATTGGCATTGAGTCCTTGTCCCTCATCAATGGCCACGTCTACAATCTCCAAGTCGGCGAGACCAGCACCCCTATCTTCATAATGCCTATCAGTTTTGGCAACAGCAAGTTCCAAATATAGACGAATCCAGGGATTCTCTAGCAGCTCAGATTCCTTCACCTGATGAGACCAAAAGCAAAAACATATAGGGGTCACTAATTTTGTTGGTCGTGGATCATACATAGGGGGAAATAGTTGTGTGTCTTAATCAATCATATCCTCATACCAGGTAATATGTATCAAAAGGATTCACTGCAGGGCACTCAGGCAAGGTACTATCTACCAGCGTCGAAAACCCCTTGCCATCTATTGGCTCCCCTATACAAAAAAAAATCAGAAATTGTTATGATATTCACTGGATGAAGACAGTCAATAATAATGATGGGACAAAAAAAAAACCACCTCGAATTCTTGCAATAGGGCAAGTGAGAATAAATCTGCCAACACTGTATTCTGAAACTTTATTCTGGAAAGTTTGAAGCGAACCAGCTGAGTCAATTGCATCCAAAGTCATGTAGTAAGAAGCATTAGCCGAACCAGTCGACTTCACGTATTTTTGCACGCGAATCAGCTCAAACATTGTACCCTGCTTAGAACGAAACAAAGAGGAAAATTAACAAAGTGAATGTAGCATAATGAAGGACGATTGTTTTCTTTTGTGAACAAAATTGCTTAACCTGGGCGAAATTGTAACGATGAAGGCTCATCTTCGCATAGAGGAAGACCAAGGGAGGACAAGGATACTCTTGTTTACAGATATTTACCAAATATCCGTACGTACTACTGTTGAGATCGTAAACCTAAGAAGAAGCAGATGATTTACAAAAGCTTCGATTTTTAATTTCTTAAAAATAAAAAAAAAGGGAAAAAGATGACAGAATTACTTACACTGGATCCCGGGGCTAGCTTGTCACCGTCGTCCCTCGGATATCTATGAAAGGCCTCCATCGCTTTTTGTTGGCGCATCATCATTCTTATCGTATCCTCCGATTTAGGTTTCAGGCGGTTTTTGTCGATTTCAGGCGATGATGATGATGATGATTGATGAGAATTTGGGTGAAGACGCTAAGGAATTTGAGCAAGGAAAAAGTGTGGTAACGGTGTCGTGTCAACAACTTGGGTACCAGTAGATTTTAGGTTTTATAGAGGCTTGGTTACTATTTGGAAATTTATTTGCTAAGTTTTTGCGATGTTGATATATATGTTTGCAAAGTAAAAAAAAAAAAAAAAGAGAAGATGTTATATGTTTGCCACAAATAATGGTTTTATTCGAGTTTTTTTTATTTTATTATTGTGTAAACTCGTATGAAATTTATATAGAGATTTAATTAATGTTAAAAAATTATATATAATTTACTTTTTAACTTTTAAGAAAGAAATATTAATTTGATAAAATATACTTTTATATGCTAATTTAGTCCTACCGAAAAAAAGAAATATAAATATGCTAATTATTTATTGACTAAAACATTTATAAATTAAAACCAAAAAAAATAACCCAAAAAAAAAGAACAAGTTACAACAATATTTTTGGACGACAAGCAAGGGTTAATACTTATCTCAGATTAAAAACCAGACCTGCGCCGCTTACTCTATCTCTCTTTCTCACAGATTCATTCGCAACGCATCTTTGTTTTACTCTTTACGCCAATCTCGCTTCCACATCCCTTTGTGAGTTTCTTCTCTTTGATTCCTTTTCGAATTCTTCTTTCGATCTCAAAGTCTTACATCGTCTTTTTTTGTGGTATTGAGTTTAGAGATTAGTTAACCTAGCCGTTCCTTTTCTCTTGTGAAGCCTTTACCTAGATTTTAATTTTGGGTATAATCGTATTGGGGGAATCGTAATTTTATTCCTGAATCTAGTTATGGTTTCATTGCGATTATCGATTTCGATGTGGAAACCCTAATTTTGTTTGTATGCCATTGCTGTTACAGATTATGTTGATTCTGATATATTCGTTTGGTTTCTGAGTGCTTATTATCATTGTTTTTTTTTTCGTGTTTGTCTCAGTTGCAATCATGGCTGACGAGATCAATGAGATGAAGGAAGAGCAAGAAGTAAGTTGTTGGTCCTCTGTGTCTTAACGTTATGGCTCAGTTTTGATGGTTTGGTTGTTTGTTGAAGTCATGATTAATTGGTGTTTGTTTTTGTTTTGGTTAATCCTTTTATAGCAGCTCGCACCTTTTGATCCAACCAAGAAGAAGAAGAAGAAGAAAGTTGTGCTTCAGGATCCTGTCTTGGACGCAGGAGAGTCCTCACAGACTGAGAAATCTGATTCATTGCCTGGTATGATGAATTGTGAAACCGATTGTTTGTTTTTTTCAATTGTATTTGTGTTACTTTTGTCTAATTCCTTTTTCTGTAGCTAATGATGGTCTTGAGAGTTCATTTGCTGGAATGAAGAAAAAGAAGAAGAAGCCAGTGAGTGTTTAACATTTACTGCCTTCTAAGTTTTTTTTTTTGTTTTTCATTCTTTAAACTTGTATGTTGGATGATTATGTGCCTCACATTGTTTTTCCTCTATGTTTAGGTTGAATCAAGCTTATTGAATGATGAAGTTGTTGATGCTGGAGAAGATTTGGATGGTATTTCTAAATTTCTTAGTTTCTTTGCTAATTAACCGTTCTACTAGGGCTTGAATTTTTCATGTTGAAATCTTACTGAGAATATATTACAGAGCTTGTTAATGAGGAGGAAGAGGGGGATGAAGGAATAGTTATTCAACAGCAACGTTACCCCTGGGAGGGAAGTGATAGAGATTACAAATATGACGAGGTGAGTATATCTTATATGTTTTTTATTTTATTTTTTGCATTGACCTGTATTGATTTACAATGTTCATCGGTTATGAAAAACATTTTATGTCAAAGTATCCATTTTAAAAAATCTACTTCTCCCCTGATTTTCGCTGACGAGACTTATATTTGCAGCTTCTTGGTAGAGTTTTTAACATTCTCCGTGAAAATAATCCGGAGCTTGCTGGAGATAGGCGTCGTACAGTTATGAGGCCTCCTCAAGTTCTTCGTGAAGGGACAAAGAAGACAGTGTTTGTCAACTTTATGGACCTTTGCAAGACGTACGTGCAAACCCCTTATCTTCCTCTTCAATCTTGTGTATCTTAATTAATAATACTTGTATATATTGATGGCTGTATGACATATATTATCTGCATTGAAAAAATTTCAGGATGCATCGTCAACCAGATCATGTCATGACTTTCTTACTTGCTGAGTTGGGTACTAGTGGCTCGCTTGATGGGCAGCAAAGGTTGGTTGTTAAGGGAAGGTTTGCACCTAAAAATTTTGAAGGGATTTTGCGGCGATATATCAGTAAGTAACTTTCTCTTTAGTCTCCAAATTTGAGTTGTCACAGTTTGGAGAGTTCTTATTTGCGTGGGTTATTTGCAGCTGAGTACGTCATATGCCTTGGTTGCAAGAGCCCAGACACAATTCTTACAAAGGAGAATCGTCTCTTCTTTTTGAGATGCGAAAAGGTATAATCTTATTGTTTTAGCCTCTTATCTTGATATGTATGCCTTTGTTTCTGTTTTTACTCTATGCGCAACTAAGGAAGGAAAACTCTTCTTGCCTACATTAATCCTATCATATAACTGAGAACCGGAATTATTAAGAGAAGCTTTAGAACTGTTTTATGCTTTGTCTTGTAATTGATACCGAGTAAACTCTCTAGGATTAAACTCATCAGGAGGCTAAGATTTCTTCGTGAATTATAATTTCTCTTACTTAAATTAAATAGTCAGGTGAGGCTGACAATGATGTTGATATATTTTGCCTACACTGCGTGATGAAGTGAATGAGACTTTTGGTTATTCAGCTCTATGCTAAAAATCTTCTGTGTTTGAATTTGCAAATGTGATTAATAAATGGGCTATACATTGTTTTGCAGTGTGGATCTCAACGATCTGTAGCTCAGATCAAGCAAGGGTTTGTTGCCCGTGTTGGTCGCAGAAAGACTTAAGAAATTGGAAGGTGAAGCGGGCTTGTTATGGAGTTGGTCCTATTCTTCTCTTCTAGTGCTTCTGTAGCTTGCTATGGAGTAAAATACTTGTTTTGTTTTTGTTGTTTTGGAATATGTTGAAGAATCACCAGATAATGACTTCACCTCAAATATGGGTAGGATCAAAACCTTTTACTCTGTTAGGTTCATGTGGTTAACTTGAGAAGGTCGACTTAATCTATGGACCCTTTTTTGTGTCAAAGTTCTTGTCCTTGCAAAGCTTATTTTTTTCATCTTCATGTTTTATTGTGCCTTTGTCAGTTTGTGGTTGAAATTGCTTAGTTTCAAAGCTCAAAAATGATGAGGTTTTGCTCTTTTTACAAGAATGCATACTTTAAAATTTTACCTATTGAACCTATCAATAAATCGTTAACCTCAACTATATTTTAACTCAAATTTTCACTTTTGGATCAATTTTTCCAATTCGTTGTGAATTGTGATGGATCGATTTCTCTTGGCCGGCGCCTCTTAGGTAAACCGGTAATTATAACGTATGTTCTCTATTTTCTAGAACCGAATCAAACCAAACTGAACTTGATTAAGCAAAACCGACCGACTTCATCCTTTCCTCCTGATCAAGATATCTCGGCTCCTACATAACATTAGAGAATCGAAGAAGACGAAACAGATCGTTGCTCATTTTGATCAATTCTTCTTCTTCTTCTTACCAAAAAAAAAAAAAATCCCAAATCAATTTAAACCCCTAAATTCTCCTTTACTGTTTAGTAATTATAAAATACAAATGGATGCAGCATCTCCTTCACCGGCTCTTCCCGAGGAAAGCTTGAAGCTTGAACTTGATGATCTGCAGAAACAGCTTAGCAAAAAGCTCAGATTCGAAGCTTCCGTTCGTTCTATTCATAATCTCCTCCGTGATCGCTATTCTTCTTCCTCTCCTTCTCTCCGCAAACAGGTTGGTTTTTTTATTCTTTAATTTCGGAACCAATAGATTTCAACATTAGCTCGGAATTTTAGAATATTGGCCATTGCTGATTGATGGTGGGTTTTACTTTTGAGAATGGTATTAGGAATCTAAACACTTGTGAAAAAAGATCTTCAATTGATCCAATATGAGTTTCATCATTCTCTTCAGTTTCTTTGTTAACGGTGTTGTTTGTTTAGTTACCCTCTCTGACACCAGTATTGGTTTGATGACCATTGCAGTTTTTTATAGTTGTATCTCGTGTCGCAACGGTTCTTAAGACAAGATATACAGCTACTGGCTTTTGGGTTGCGGGACTGAGCCTTTTTGAGGAGGCTGAGCGACTTGTGTCTGATGCTTCTGAGAAGAAACACTTGAAATCTTGCATTGCTCAAGCCAAGGACCAGTTAACCCAAGTAGATAGTCAGCCAACAGAGACCTCACAAGGTTTTCTATCATTTAGTTTGGCTTTATTGTCGTTTTAACTGAAGAGAATCTGGAATGAGCTTATTACTCTTGTAAATTTGTTCCAGGTTATCTTTTCGAGGGACATCTAACGGTTGATCGTGAGCCGCCACAGCCTCAGTGGCTAGTGCAGCAGAATTTCATGTCTACTTTCGCTTCTATTGTTGCTGGTGAATCCTCTAATAATGCTCCTACTGAAAACACTCTTGGGGACACGGCAAACTTGATGCAAGAACTCATCAATGGGCTCGACAGTATCATCCCAGAGGTAGTTGTTTTATCTTTTGGCATTGCCCTTATCTTTTCTTCCTTCGTTAGTTTTAGATGATGTAGCTGTTGTGTGTTCTCACATTGCTGACAAAACGAGATATTTCACATATAGATGAGTTTAAAGCAATTTTTGTACCCGTATGTTGTTTCTCCAGTTGGTTCAAATATGGCTTGCTTTTTGTCTCCTCCTTCCGTATCAAGAGCCTTTAACCCCAATCTAATATGATACTGGTAGTATTTTATTGCTTAGCCTTATGATTGAAAAATGATATATATGATGTGTTTTTATACAGATACTAGAAGATGGTGGACCACCAAGAGCTCCACCGGCCAGTAAAGCGGTTGTAGAGAAACTTCCGGTGATTGTTTTCAGCGAGGAACTGCTTAAAAAGTTAGGACCAGAGGCAGAATGTTGTATCTGCAAGGAGAATCTAGTAATCGGCGACAAAATGCAAGAGCTACCATGCAAGCACACATTCCACCCTTCTTGCCTAAAGCCTTGGCTGGTAAAATTAATTTCATTCTTTCAAAGCTTTTACGGGTAAGCAAGAATATAAAGCTTATGATCAAATTGTTTTGGCAGGACGAGCATAACTCTTGCCCTATATGCCGTCATGAATTACCAACAGATGATCAGAAATACGAAAACTGGAAAGAGAGGGAGAAAGAGGCCGAGGAAGAGAGGAAAGGCGCAGAGAATGCTGTCCGCGGCGGTGAATATATGTACGTTTAGATTGTAAAAGTTATGTTACACTACCATTGTTTGTGCTTTAAACATCTCCAATTTGTTATTGGTCATTCACAATTTATAAATCCTACTTTATTGAGACTCGATTTGTTTTGTGTGAAAGCTTATATAACAACCATAAAGATTTCAATACTTAAACACACAATATGTTTGAAAATATAACAAAGTTCAATAACATAACAACAAGAGTATTAGTTAGAAAAGACTCTAGGACACTGTTTCTAAAATCACAATAGTTTCTTCAGTAGATGATCCTCTTCCCTTAGAGCGACTTGTAAAAAGACAAACATGTCTGACCACTCCAGACATGCAAACAAATCTTCGGTTTGTCTGACAAACCTATACAGACACTATCATACAACACACAGCAGCATACATGATAGATTACCATATTAACCATATTGACATAAAGTTTTACTTAATTTCCTTTAAAAGCTTATTGTAGCCATGAGGTTTGATCTTCTGCTAAACAGTCGGAAATTCCTCCTTGATAGAGGCATTGCCTATTGGCACATCTGTCTTTTTGGTGTCGGAAGTAGGGTAAGGGTTTTTGTTGACCAATCTGCAGAAAAAGAATGTAAATGTTGCTGTTAGCTGCAATCTAAAGGTAAACATTTTAATGATCAATCTATATTTTACAAGTCCCTCTCAGGCCTATCAACAAGCTCTGTATTAGTAATCAATCAAAGACTGAATAAAATAGATCAGATTTAAGTTTCCATATACCTGTCCCGTCTTTTCTCGAGGAATCGTTGAAGCGAATGCCTCCTTGCAATAGGTAGATCTGGATTGGCAAACATACTTGTAAGAAACTAATGAGTGTATCCATTATAAATGTTTGAAGATTATCACAACCAGTTGAATCGAATACTGACCAGCTGCGGATCTGCAAAACGAAATTGGCTGAATGGAAAATGACTGTGCAGCTGGTGAAGCTACATTAGATGTGCTTGAGAATGAAGGAGCTCTGTTCAGTGCTGGCGATGGGACAGGACTGGTGCTCGTAGAATTCTTTGTCTCCATGGCTTTAGCAGCTATTCGAATGATTTCTTGAACCTATAAGCGTGGGATCATAATGAGAACAGGAACCCTTAAGCTATTCGTACAACAGAAGTGTAGAATTTGCTCTAGTGTAACGGACCAACCTTTTCTGCTGGGAGTCCATCAAACACAGTAACACTCCCACCAAAGAAAATAGTAAGTTGATTTGGAAGGACAGTTGACGCATCTGCCTCAGATGATGTGTTCTCCGTGGACCTTCAATACCAGAAGATTCATCAAACATATACCATACTAAAGATGGAGTATTGATGCAACATTGAGAACAATCAAATAGCTAGGAATATTGTGACTGTTGACACTAAACAGCATATATAAAGGTAAGATATGAATATCATAACTGTCATTTAGTGTTTAAAGTGATTTATTGGTTGTTAAGAATCAGGTTCTTCTGGGTTCCATGTCAAATTCCTCACAGAAGGTAACATCACATATTCAAGGAATTTGTAAGTCAGACCCGTTAACAAGAAATACGGAAAGATGTCTTTGATATATGAAACATGGTTCTCCATTTCAGATGCAACACACAATGGTAAATACATGAAACATTTGTAAACTTATAGAACCAAAAGCCATCACTGATGTAGTGAGAAATAGCGTAGACTGACTAATATAGCAAACCCAAACTCTACACTTTCGCAAGTTCAAGATGATGTTCCACTAACTAAATTCACATGAAAACCCTTATGTACACATTAAGGACTTTAAAGCACAAGATCAATTGTTTTAGCCAAGAACAAATTGATTCCTCCGAAAAATATGAACTTTCCCTAAATAGCAACTAAAAAATCCTCAAATCCTATCTTTATATATACGCTTCACAAATATAAACAGATCGAAATGTTCATTATCAGAAACGAACACACAAACTCCAGAACTATACTCTTATCAAAGGGAGGATAGAGATTATAAAAAACCTGTGAATCAATCAACAGTAATTTCAAACACAGCTCATACCTAACTTCGTGAATCGATTTCTCAACAGATCCGTCGAAGACACCGTGCTCGGTTCCGTTACCGCCGATCGCAGCCGCGCCACCGTCACCGCCGGCAACATCACATCCACCTTCAACGGTAGAGCGAGGCTCATCTTTCATCATAGTCATGACTCGTAGATCTTTCTTTACTCCGATTAAAGAACTTATGAAATTTTTCTCCTGTCTCCACGACGTTGCAGAAACGGGAAGCTCCGAGAGATATATCCTCCTCAGGAGCTCCTTTGATTTGGACACGTGGCGGTCGATATTGATTTTTTTTGTTTGACTTCGGTTCTAAGACAATAAAAGACAAAAGAAACTAATTTAAAAACGTGCGCGAATTCGATACGTTGTCGTATTTCGGGTTTTTGCCACCCTTTTATGTGGGACATTCTGTTAACGACAACTCCGAAACGTGTCTAATGTTAAGTGGCTGAGACATTTATTTAAAATTGATGGGGTTCTTGTCCTCTTGAATCTTGAATTCCCCCCTTATTGGACCTTGTTTAATTGGGCTCGAAAACAACTGTTGGGCTTAGCAGCGTTAAGATGTGGACTATATAATAATACCCAACATATCACCCTAGCATCTTTTTTTTCTTTTTTTCTTTTTCCCTACTAGTCGAACTTATTGTAATCTAGAATGATTTCGTACTAGTGTCTGTACGCTCTATTATCACCAGAATTAAGAATTTTTTAGAATGTATAGCTTAATTTAATTGATTACATTATTAAGAATTTCACAATATGTAAAACCATTAAACTCTGCGATAACACAGTTTGAAATTAATTAATCGCGTACAAGATGCAACTGCCGTGAAAATAACCTTTTTTAGCGTTTTTTTTTTAACCAAGGGCAGAGAAATTTGGAATAAGTGAGGGTAGTTTGGTCTTTGTATTTTTCATTTAGGGTTCCGAAAGATCTGGGTTTTGGCTCTCTCTCCCTCATTTCTACTTCTTCTAAAAGATTTCGAGACCCTTTAGGCTTTGTTCGTTCGTAGTGAACGACACTCGATTTTTTCCAGTCTTGATCCCAGATTCGTCGACTTGAGAGGAGATCTCCGATACTGAAGTAGCCTCCTTCATCTTCCGCTCTTCCCGATGCCGGTAATGATTCGCCGTCGTCTCTTTCATTTCTTTTTTGCTTTTCCCATTGCTCTTTACGCAGCCATTAACTTACCTATTTCGTATTTAGATCGATAAGATCTTCAAAGATGACGCTAGTGAAGAGAAGGGAGAACGTGCGAGGATGGTGAGCTTTGTTTATATCTTGTCATTTAGGAATTAGGGTTTTTCAGATTCACACTCACTGTGTGTTTCATCTGATTCACTTTATTTGTTGCTCTCTCTAGGCATCATTTGTTGGTGCAATGGCTATCAGTGATCTGGTTAAGTCTACTTTAGGGCCTAAGGGCATGGTAACTTCCGATCTCCAAATATATAAAAAGCTCTAATTGATCATTTAAATCACTCTATTGATTGTGGTTGAATCTTATTATTGTTTAGGACAAAATCTTACAATCTACTGGTAGAGGTCATGCAGTCACTGTTACTAATGATGGTGCTACTATTCTCAAGTCACTTCACATAGACAACCCTGCAGCTAAAGTTCTTGTTGGTATGTATGCTTTCTCCTGCAACATTGTGACTGTAAGCTCTCGAATTCGTTTTTTTTTGTGGGTTTTCTCACACTTCTTGTATCTGGTCTGATGTTCAGACATCTCTAAAGTTCAAGATGATGAGGTTGGTGATGGGACTACTTCTGTTGTTGTCTTGGCTGGCGAGCTTCTGAGAGAAGCAGAAAAGCTTGTTGCTTCTAAGATTCACCCTATGACGATCATAGCAGGTAAGCTTCTGGCTCTTTTAAGTGTAAAGATGACTATGTTGTGTCAGCTCCTTGTTCCATTATGTTAATGATGTCTAATTTTTTCATTTTCTGAATTCTTAGGTTACAGAATGGCTTCGGAATGTGCTCGTAATGCTTTACTGAAAAGAGTTATTGATAATAAGGACAATGCAGGTAATCATTGTAGAGATGGTTGCGATGTTGGTTCAAGTAGTGCTTTCCTTTATTATTAACTTGGAATATCTTACTGTTATTTACTGTATTGTGCTCTGTGTTTATGCAGAGAAATTTAGGTCAGACTTGCTGAAGATTGCGATGACTACGTTATGTTCCAAAATTCTCTCACAGGACAAGGAACATTTTGCTGAAATGGCTGTGGATGCTGTTTTCAGGCTAAAGGTATCATCCCTTGCCTCCTTTTAAAACTCTGTCAGCAAATCTTTTTCTCTGCAATTTATGTGTAATGAAAGAAGGGCTTTCTTTGACGAATGTCATAAAGTTAGGCTAGTCTCATTTCACAATTAGTTTCTTTCCTGTAAATCATGTTTTCGTTTTGAGGTGTTAAATGATTTGTCACTAACATATTGGTGGTATGCTTCAAATAGGGAAGCACAAACTTGGAAGCTATCCAGATCATCAAAAAACCTGGAGGATCCCTGAGAGATTCCTTTTTGGATGAAGGGTAACACAACACTTCTGCCTTTGACGTCTGTTTGTAATCTTTTTCTGGAATCTATTGCTCTCTGTTTAGTATTCATCTGTTTATGATATCACTTTTGTGTGTCAGTTTCTCTTCTTCGTAGCTAGCTCAGCTTAATTTTATAAATATAGTCTTACATTGGAATTTTGATAGGAATTACGTCATTATGTTGTGTTGCATCCCTGCCTATGTGCTTCCAGTATAATTGTCTCATGACATATCAACTTTAATGGATGCCTCTAGGTTTATTCTTGACAAGAAGATAGGAATTGGGCAGCCAAAGCGCATAGAGAATGCAAATATCTTGGTAGCAAATACTGCTATGGATACCGATAAAGTGAAAATTTATGGTGCACGTGTCCGTGTGGATTCCATGACCAAGGTTGCTGAGATTGAAGGCGCTGAGAAGGAAAAGATGAAAGACAAGGTGAAGAAGATCATAGGCCACGGTATCAACTGCTTTGTTAACAGGCAGTTGATCTACAATTTCCCTGAGGAACTCTTTGCAGATGCTGGTATACTTGCTATTGAGCATGCTGACTTTGAGGGGATAGAGCGTCTTGGATTGGTTACTGGTGGAGAAATCGCATCAACCTTTGACAACCCAGAGTCTGTTAAGCTCGGGCATTGCAAGCTCATTGAAGAAATCATGATTGGTGAAGACAAGTTGATCCATTTCTCTGGTTGTGAAATGGGCCAGGCTTGTTCAATTGTCCTAAGGGGAGCGAGGTACTTGTCTTTCACTCCCAGTACTTGAGATTTTCGTCTCTAATTCAGTATGCCAATTTATGTGTGGTTTCTTTGTTCTTGCAGTCACCATGTTCTGGACGAGGCTGAAAGATCACTCCATGATGCTTTATGTGTACTCTCACAAACAGTGAATGACACTAGAGTGTTGCTTGGAGGTGGATGGCCAGAGATGGTGATGGCAAAAGAAGTAGATGAGCTTGCAAGGAAAACTGCTGGCAAAAAATCGCATGCCATTGAAGCTTTCTCAAGGGCTCTAGTGGCGATTCCAACAACAATCGCTGACAACGCTGGTTTAGACAGTGCAGAATTGGTTGCTCAGCTTCGTGCAGAGCACCACAATGAAGGGTGTAATGCCGGAATCGATGTCATCTCTGGATCTGTAAGTGAACTCTATAAACATTAGGATCGGACCTAGATTTTGGAACGTTAGACTTGAATTGTGATGATGATGATTAAATTCTTCACAGGTAGGAGATATGGAAGAGAGAGGAATCTATGAAGCATTCAAAGTGAAGCAAGCGGTTCTGCTTTCTGCAACAGAAGCATCTGAGATGATACTGCGAGTGGATGAGATCATTACATGTGCTCCTAGGAGGAGAGAAGACAGGATGTGAAACCCAACACATGAACATGGTGGGACCGAGATTTCATGATCATCCGGTGACGATGTTTCAGTGCCATAGCTTGTGTTTTCATTTCTTAAAAACTTTTAGTGTTTTATTACTTGGTAAACTCATCTTTTTGATTTGTTTCTCTTTTTTTTTAATCTTGTTTTGATTTTGGATTTAGACATTTGTTGAAATGTAATCTCCAAGGAGTTTACCTTGTTTTGGTCAGGTTATCAGAAATTTTCACTGAGATTATTCGTTGTTTGGGTTAGTGGAAATATATTTTAGCAGGAGAGAATATGGGATATGTTGTCTTTTGTGTGTCTCATGTATCAGTAAATATTCGATTTGGTCGAGAAGAACAACAAAATACAAAAACCTCAAGGTTTGGTATTTGGATACCAGAAAATCTGGAATGATCCCAACTATAGATGAAATCATGTGTAGGTCATCAACTTGTAGAAAATATCTATAGAAATATGAGACATGACCTACAACGTTGAGGTGGTTTTGCGTTGTAAAGGGTTTGGTCAACCGACCAAACCACATTATAAAGCAGAGCAGATCAAAACATGGGACCTTACAATCGCAAGCTTTAATTATAACGTCGCCTTTATCAATCGTCTTACCAGAAAAGTATATTTGTTTTTTTAGATTTTGTTGTTTTTATACTTCGATGATTTGATTTGAATCGCAGAAATTTTCATGGTTTCATACCTTTCTTTCCATTTCTCTTCACCAAAACAGTTAAAAGTTAGTAACCAAAAAAGTGCACCAATTTATCCAGAAATTTAATGGAAATGCATAAACTATATAGTAGTACATGTTTAGAAAAATTTAATCGAAAAAATATAATATTGACCGACATTAATTCATAGTCTAGTGACAACAAGATCCTTAGGTCCGTTGACATGTCATCCTAGGTTTAATTTACTGCTTCCCAAAGCTGTTCGATTCTCAAGATCTTATGACAATCTCTGACACTCTGTTTGTAGGGCTATTGTCCCTGGAAGAACATTCGTTTGAGATGAGATCAAGACAGAGCAATGCAATATTCCTTGACGAGTGTGAGGTTAGAGAGCTAATATGAAACGGAGAAACAACTCTCAAAATAGACAACAAAAGCAAGACCACCAATGGAATTGATATGCTGCTATATGTGGAGTAGTTGTAAATTGGCTCATATCATTAATTAGAAGAAGAAAAAAAAAAAGGTATTACATAAGCGTAAGTATATTAAAATATAACTAAGACGATGCCCGGTCAATACTCACGTAAGGGTTGATATAAAAATTGTCTCTGCGTATGTGTCAAAAGCCAGAAATGACGCTATATGCTACAATCAAGTTATCATAGAGTATAGTATGATTTTTAAAGTTATAAGCATAAATTAGGAAATATTACAGTCTTTATCTCGTCTTTATGGTCATCAAATGGTCATCTCCCATTAAAACCCCTTAAGATAACGAAACGAAAACATAAAAATAATGTTTCTCTTTTGGGAGGTGTGTGTGCTTTTGGTAAAAGAAAAAGCCAAAACCTAAAGTTGTGACACGAACGGCACACATAAAATAAAAATTTAGGCTCACGTCATTTTTACTTTGTTTCACGAAATTACAATTTTCACAACTCCATTATATTAACTTTTAAGAAATTTGCAAATTTGTCCCTTCACTCACTGGCTCACTCGTTCCTCACACGGTCACGAACCGTAAGAATCTTTTCTTTTACGACTTTAACAAAACGACCCCTAATTTTAGATCCGGATCTTTTTAGTATCTCCAATTATTTCAAAAAAAATATTTAAACGATTCCTGTTATAAAACTAATCAAAGGAAAGCAACAATTATACGTCTCATTAACTAAAATAAAAAGATAATCTTATATTAATCCTTTAACATTATACAATTAAAATCGAATATTCCCAAAAAAAAATTAAAACTATATACAAGAAGAGCAAAGAAAGTGTAACACTTCATCACAATTGAAAACTTGACACCTATTATTGTAAAATATATAAAAAGAACCTCCAAACAACTTGCAATATTATAAAATTAAACAAAAAAATAATACTCCATAATTAACAAAAATTAAAGGCACCACTAATTAGAAAAAAAGAAAGTAAAGTAAAGCAAAGCAAAGCAAAGCAAAGCATCATCTATCATCATCATGCATCAGCCAAGTAGCTTTATTCCCCTCTATTAAAAATCGAATCTCATTCTCCATTTTTCCTCCCCCTTCCCCTCTCTCTCTCTCTCGCTCTCGCTCACTCACACCTCAGCTAATCTTTGTGTTCTTCTTTCAAAACTCTTAATCACAATGAGCTTCTTCATCGAAGATTCTGGTCTCATAGTCACTCAGCTTCTCTACAAAATGGCTGTTCTCATCACCGTCCTCAGATGGATCCTCGCATGGATCTTACGCTACCGATCCAGATCTAGATCCACCGTTTCTTCTTCCTCCTCCTCCTCCTCTTGTCCGGCGATTTCTTCGCAAGCGATCAAAGAGAGCCTCTCCGTGACGACGTTCCGTGACGCCTCCGAGAGATCTCCGGCGATGATCAGCGATACATGCGCTGTGTGTCTCGGAGATCTGGAAGATGGAGATGAGGTTAGAGAACTGAGGAACTGTAGCCATATGTTTCACCGTGAGTGTATCGACCGGTGGTTGGATTACGAATGTTGCGGAGGAGATGAGAACAACGAAGGTGAGGAGGATAACCACCGGACGTGTCCTCTTTGTAGAACTCCGCTTCTTCCTGCTAATACGACGTCGTGTGGTGATTGGCCGGCTAAGAACGAACCTAGCTGGGCTGTTGAACGCCTTCTTTACCTCTTCGGAGATGATCTTCTCGTCTGATTTTTCAAATTTCTTTTTTTTTTCTTTTGTTCCAAATTTTTATTTGATTTTATTTTATTTTAGTGGGATCGGTTGATCGATAGAAAATTACATAGTGGTCAATTTTGTAAATTGGGGGATTTAATGGTTTATTCTAGGAAATATAATAAAGGTTATATCAGTTTTTTTCTGATTTCATTAGTTTGATACTAATAATGCTTTTCACGGCCAATTTCGAACCTTAAGACATTTCTACTTGGCAAGTGATTCTGAGCTCAAATGAAAACTACGAATGACCAAGAACAACCCAAATGTTTTTTTATACAAAATAAATTTCATCAATGCTCAGTTACTCTCAGATACTGAGAGATACAAATATGACTCACACTCACTTGCTAGAAAATTTAGTATAAACTTTGGCTTTTCGGATTTCATAAAATGCAAATTTGTGATCGTGGTTCGTATTAGCTCTAACGAACAAATTTAAAATCTACATGTAAAAGTACTCAAAGTAAAATCATGATATTTAAAATTCATGCTTGTGAAATTACACATAGGCCAAAAAAAAAAGGAAAAAAATAGAGAGGGGAGAAGGAAATGAAGCACAGTCGTTTTGATGAGTAGGTCGGCTATGGAGAAATTAAAAAAAAAAAAGATTGCTTTTCTTAATTTGGGGGATTTTTTTTCATAGAGGAGGAGGAGCTGGTTCGTTTCTAACAAAATATCATCTTTCCGATGGCAGCGATACAGATGCTCGATCAGGTTGATGATTCCGCTGATTCACTGATGCAATCCGTCCGCGAGGTTCAAACGAAGATGGCTCTGCTTCACACCACTGTTGGTGAGCTACTCTGTTCCATGTCTGAGACCCTAAATTCACTGACGGAGATGAAGGACGCTCTTCTTTACCAACCCACAGCTCCCGCACCGTCGGAATCGAAAGTTACGGTGGATCAGGACCTCCCTGTAGCACCACCCACTCCTCCTCCTACGACCGCGCCGGTGGTGGATAACTCAACCAACGAGCACCCCTTGGCTCGCTACGTAAAGGTGAGGAAGACCAGGATCGAGATGCCAGTGTTTGAAGGTACCAATGTTAACTCGTGGCTCTTCCGAGCGGAACGATACTTCGAGTTCGGGAGTTTCACGGAGACGGAGAAGATCCGGTTAGCTTATATGAGTGTCGAAGGTCCTGCTTTGTGTTGGTTTAGCCTTGAGGATCGTGAACCTTTTCTAGATTGGAACGATTTCAAAACTAGGGTTTTACAGAGGTTTGGGGATCCCATATCTCCATTTGAACGATTACTCTCACTCAAACAGGATGAATCTGTTATACGCTACCTTGGTGAATTCGAGGATCTCTCCACGCAATGTTCGGGTCTCTCTGATTCTGTTCTTGGGTCCTTATTCGTCAAAGGGCTTAAGGTTGAGATTCAGGATATGCTCCGTGTGTTTCAACCAAAGGGGTTGAGAGATATCATCATGATGGCTCGTAGGTTGGAGAATAGTCCTTTTTGCCGTGTGATGAACCCACCACTTACGGATTCTGAGTTTGAAGATCTGTGTCTCCGCAGGAAGAACTACAACACTTAGATTCTTACCCTTTTTTGGTGCTTTTGAGTGGCTTGTCTTCTGTGAATAGGTAAGCTCTGTTAGATTCTTGTAGTCATCTTCTAGGCTCTAGCATCGAGTGTTATGTCAAAGGAACACATTTTCTATTCCCTGGCTTGCTTGAAGATGGTGTTTCATCTTTCATGGATTCATACAATTAAAGTCAGGGTTTTTATCTAATCTTTATTGGCTCCCACCAATTCTTACAATTAAATTGTTTCTTTTGGGCTATCTTTTGTGGTTATCTTGGTTGAATATGAAAACGTAATTACATATCTTTACAAGAATATACCAGGTTAGGGACTTGCCATCATATAGTAATTTGGGAGATTCCATTGGATTAATAAAAAAAAGGTTGTAAACTTTCTTCTAAATATTCTCTAAGAAAGAAACTGCAAAGGTTGTCTCCATCTCATGTACTCCATCCCTTTCTTCTTCCGTCTCCCTCTTATTATTAGCCTCAATGATTACTCATCATCATGTGTAAGTGACAATTATTATGTTTTTATAGTATGCTTGGATGGTTTAAATTGAGGTTTACCTCCAATGGAATCAAGTTCCTTATTCAACCACCATCACAAATACCTTTCCTTTCCCCTCTTTCTTCCATATACTCAACTTCCCCAAACTCCTACATCTCTATCTCTGTATATATATACTCACACAAATAAAACATAAATTCTCATTAGACCCCACACACTGTGAATCAATCTTCTATCCCAAATCTCACACTTTTAGAGACATGGGTCGTCATGATACATACCAAAAATTCATCCTATTATGCCTATCTTTATTGTTACATCACAACATAGTGAAGAATGTAGAGGGCTTGGCATGTAACTGGGGAACACAAGCGAGCCATCCTCTTCCACCAGACATAGTGGTGAAGCTCCTTAGGGAAAACGGTTTCAACAAGGTTAAACTTTTTGAAGCTGACCCTGGTGCACTTAGAGCTCTTGGTAAATCCGGTATTCAAGTCATGGTCGGTATCCCCAACGATCTCTTGGCAACTATGGCATCCACTGTTACCAATGCAGAGCTCTGGGTTCAGCAAAACGTCTCTCAGTACATCTCTTTATATGGAACTGATATAAGGTAAATTGCACTGCGCTTCTATACACCAATAGCTCAAAAACACACATGCTTAGAGGTTTCTAAAGGTTTGAAATATAAATTTTAGACTAAAGATGGGATTTTTAATCGTTGGTCAGATACGTAGCGGTGGGGAATGAGCCATTTTTGAAGACATACAAGGACAGATTCGTCCGTTCAACATACCCGGCGCTACAGAACGTTCAAGCAGCTCTAGTGAAAGCTGGTCTCGGCCGGCAAGTCAAAGTGACGGTGCCTCTTAACGCCGACGTTTACGAATCCGGCGACGGTCTTCCTTCCTCGGGCGATTTCCGATCTGACATTAAAACCCTTATGGTCTCCATCGTTAGATTTCTAGCTGATTCCGTCTCACCAATCACCTTCAACATCTACCCTTTCCTCTCTCTCAACGCCGATCCGAACTTCCCGCGCGAATATGCTTTCTTCCCAAACGGATCAGGCGGAGGCGGCGGAGCTAAGCCCGTCGTCGACGGTTCCATCTCTTACACGAACGTCTTCGACGCAAATTTCGACACTTTGGTCTCGGCGCTTGAGAAGAACGGATTCGACGCGAACAAGATCGAGATCATCGTCGGAGAAGTCGGGTGGCCGACGGACGGCGATCAGAACGCGAACCCGGCGTTGGCTCAGAGATTCAACCAAGGATTATTAAATCGTATCCTTCAAGGACAAGGAACGCCTCGTCGGAGAACAGCGCCGGAGATTTATATATTCTCCTTAGTAGACGAAGACGCCAAGAGCATTGATCCCGGTAAATTCGAAAGACACTGGGGAATATTCTCTTACGACGGCGCCGTTAAGTATCCTCTGAGTCTCGCTAACGGACGTCAGTTAGTTCCCGCCAAAGGTGTTCGTTACCTGGCACGTGAGTGGTGCGTGCTCTCTTCTCAGGCTGCGGGTAACGCTGGTGCCGCCTTGGCAACGTCCGCTTCGTACGCGTGTGAGAACGCTGACTGCACCTCGCTCGGGCCAGGCTCTTCGTGCGCGGCCTTAGACCCCGCAGCGAATGCTTCTTACGCGTTTAATATGTATTTTCAGAAAATGGACCATCGTCGTGGCTCCTGTAATTTTAACAATCTTGGGGCTCTTACTAAGATCGATCCGTCTAGTGGTTCGTGTAGGTTTCCTATCCAAATCGATACGAGCAGGCGCGAGACGTCGAAGCCGCGGCCTCCTAGGAGTTCTTCCGGTGCAACCTTAGCAAAGTGGACGACAGTGACAGCGGTTGCGGCAGCGATGGTAATCGGATGGACGATCTTTAACTGATCGTTGGAGGGTTTCATTTGGTTTGTAAATTTTCATACGATTATTTTCATTCTTTTTTCTTACATATTGTAAATAAATATGGTCGTCGATCATTGGACATATAATTTAGTCTTTTCATAGAACTGTTCTTTTTCCCAGCTTATAATTAAGTCAATGCTGATCTGATTCGTGATGACAGAGGTGAGCGTTCTGTGATTTTGAGTTCATTATATGCAATGTCTTAGATGAACCTCTTCAAACCTTTTCGGATGTAGATGCTTTTCTAACATAGTTGAGCAACCAAAAGACAAAACAAAAAGTATACCAATCTTTCAGATAAGGAACTAGTATTGTTGTCCATCGGATTAGCAGTTATTATGTCTCTCTTCCGTAGGATTAACTTATTTGACTTATTACGTAGAGTTGTTGCAATTGACAAAATTGGATTACATGATAATATATTTTTGGTTGTAGAAGCATATATACCACTGTATCTTCTTACCAGTTAGTATAGTTCGAGCTGTCCAACCAAAAACTTTATGATATTATACCAAAGATAACTCATATAAAATAAACAGAAAGAAATCAAATGTAAGAGTTAAATTATCCCATGGAAGCCACTCAAGTCCCGATCTACTCTATGAAAAAAATGGTAGACCGCTAAACTAACTCACCAGATACTCACCTCATCAGCTAAATAAAAACTAACTTCTTTATCCTCTATAAATCAGTGCTAATCTTTACTTCATTTTGATATTATAAACTTCTCCCATAAACTAACCAAGAAAATAAATAAAACATTTTTTTGTTAACTTTAAAGTAATGTGTATTGTAGATATGGCTCTGTTTTGGGTATTATTGGTCAATGCACTTCTCCTCGTTGATGCCTCATCAAGAGATATGCCATTTGCTTACCAAAATGATTTGCAAAGGCATTGTAGCTCCACAACGTACACTTCTCTTTGTGTCCAAAACTTACGAGAGTTTCGACATGGGTCTCTTCAAGGTCTCGACTTTGTGTCTTTCCTTGTTAACAAGACTATTTCTCACTCCAATATGCTAACTCCTCCTCTTTCCTCTTCTATGAGTTCATCCGAACTCGTTTCTCTGGAAGTTTCCGATGATACGTTGCCTTCAACTTCGGTCTCAGGTACACAATATGTGTTTCAACTCTAATATCAACGTCTTAAGTTTATTTATTCCAAATCTAAATGTTACGAAAAGAAAATGATCAAAAGACGTAATTCCTTATTTGCTTGAACTAAACATTTTAAACTCTATCAGTAGATATACCCTACATGAATTATGTGAATTTGTATGAATTTTATCTAGGTTACAAAAGAAAACCCATTCATAAAGTAGTTAAAATATTTATCTATTATCTCTATCAAGATACCTAATAATTGTGACGAACTGATCATGAAAGTACAATGTTTCGGAACATGTTATCAAAAAAGCAATTGTTTTAAACGGTACAGATTATTGTGAACGGCTCATAAAGATGTCCACAAGACGACTTGGACAAGTCATGGAAGCTCTCAACAGCTCCTCTAGAAAGCGTCACAGCAAACACGACGTCCAAACATGGCTCTCGGCCGCCATGACATTCCAACAAGCTTGCAAAGATTCCATCCTTGACTCCGGTGACTCCTCTTCCTCCTCCATCAGCCGTATGACACAGAAGATGGATCACCTCTCTCGGCTTGTCAGCAACTCCTTGGCCCTCGTCGACACAATCATGGAGAATCCAAAGCCGGAGACAAAGTCAACAGTTCTTCCCAGATGGGTCACTGCCGGAGAACGGAGACTTCTAGTGGGTAGAGAAAGAGCACACGTGGTAGTCGCCAAAGACGGATCCGGAGATTACCGGACCGTGATGGAGGCCGTGACGGCTGCGCATGGACATGGCAGGTTCATTATTTACGTGAAAAGAGGGGTTTATAAAGAGAAAGTAAGTATCCATAAACATGAGATTACTTTGATCGGAGAAGGCAAAGACCAGACGGTGATTGTCGGCGGCGATAGTTACGCCGGAGGAACTTCAGTGCCGGACACCGCTACAATGAGTCAGTACACACGTTCATTCATTTATACACATAAACTATATATTAATACCAAAACTAGATTATGTCTCATACTTAAAATGCAATTCTTGCAGCCGTTACGGGTGACGGATTCATCGCACGAGACATCGGAATAAAGAACAATGCAGGGCCTAGAGGACAACAAGCCATAGCATTGAGCATCACATCAGACCAGTCAGTGTTATACCGATGTAGCATCTCCGGTTATCAAGACACACTCTATGCAGCTGCCCTACGTCAGTTCTATAGAGAATGCGATATATACGGAACCATAGATTTCATATTCGGAAACGCTGCTGCGGTTTTCCAAAGCTGCAACATATTCTTGCGTCGCCCTTACGGTGTCAAGGCCTATAACGTTATTCTCGCTAACGGGAGGACGGACCAGCGTCAAAACAGCGGATTCGCGCTTCATAGTTGTAGGATCAGGACGGATACAGATCTTTCTCCCGTGAAACATAGGTATAGCTCATACTTAGGACGGCCGTGGAAGATGTATTCAAGGGCTGTAGTGATGGAGTCGTATATTGACGACGCGATAGCCGAGGAAGGATGGGCCGGGTGGTTAAACTCTGGAGACGAGGTACTAAAGACATTGTACTTTGGAGAGTTCAAGAACTATGGTCCTAAAGCTAGAGTTTCCAAGAGAGTAACGTGGTCAGGGTTTCACTTGATTGGGTTTGAAGAGGCAAGTTATTTTAGCGTTGGTAAATTCATTGATGGTGTTAACTGGTTGCCCACTACGGGAGTTAGTTTCACTTCTGGGATTTAATTAGCGGAAAAAAAAAAAAAAGACGTGACGAATGTTCTAAAAGATTAACATCGAATGGTAAGTTCAATTTTACATGGTCATGATATTTGGTACAACTTTATATCCAACAAATACATCTATCGATACATACATGGGTCCATAGCTCAGTGGTAGAGCAATTGACTGCAGATCAATAGGTCACCGGTTCGAACCCGGTTGGGCCCTTTAATTTATATGTTTACCAATAATTTTTTACAAACTTTTATAAGAGCTTCAATAATTGATTAGCGCATTTGACGTCTAGTTGTTGTCAAGGTAAAGCAATCCATTCTCAAAGTCCAAAGTTTTGTGTTTTTCATAATGAATAAAATATTAGCAATGTTTTTGTATGTATGGATATTTAAGCAAATGAAAATTTACTCCCTCATTCTTTTTTTTTTAAATTTTTTATCAAGAGTAGTAAATACCGTTTTTGTCTTCCGAAGCTACTATTTTATCCGCTGATTATAGACTACTCAAAGCAAAACCACCAACATGTTTTCTCCGTGAACATACTTTTAACATCTTTGTTTGGAGTTAAAGTAAAATGCGTTTCAAAAAGGTGATGCATGGTTACTTGTTTATCTATTATTTACAAACTGAGAATGAGATGATTGTAGTTGTGATTTTTTATTGAGTATTGGACCAAGAATTTTAGAAAAATGTTAGATATTCAATTAGTTTTTAGAGTTTAGTTGTGAGTCTAGTGACTATAATTTGACCTAACGGTTTTATCTGAAAATTTATCATTCTGAATTAAAAATCTGTACAATTATTTTATTTCATTTTATAATATTTAGGATAAAAAAATAATTTTATGGTTAATTTTTTCGTGATAATTGTTTTTGGAATTTATACGATTAATAGATAATTGACTTGACTATGTTAATTTTTTATAACAGTTAATAAAATAAATAAATGCTTTTAATTAATAAAAGCAATATGGGTTCATAGCTCAGTGGTAGAGCAATTGACTGCAGATCAATAGGTCACCGGTTCGAACCCGGTTGGGCCCTATATTTTTTAAGTTTACAATTTAATTTTTACAAAAGCTAAAATTAGATAATGAATTAGCATTTAGCTTTTTAGTTGTCAACTAATCTTCCATTTCAAGGTTCAAAATTTCAACTACTGTATAAAATTTTATCTCCAATAAATAAGAAATTATAGTATTTTCTTAATTTTTATCTAATTTTGAAAATGAATGTGATATTTTGTAATTTTATGGTTAATTTTTTTTTGTTACATACGTTATCATTACAATGTGATTACTAAATTATCATAATTGTGGAAGAGTGAAATTGTGGTGGTTCACGGCTGTTGAACGCTTATATGTCACTTGGATGGCCACAAATATTGTGTTCCAAATCGTTAATTAGAATAATTTATATATATACTAATTTAAAACTAAAAACTGATATGAGAAATAATAATTAGATCAATTTTAAAATTATTTTCATGTATAATTTTATGCAACTTATTGAATATGTACCAAAAATTTAAATTAATATGGTAATTAACTAATTATTAAAAAATGAGGAGGATTTTTGTTTTGTTATTTACTAAAATAGGAAATTGATCTCACTAGCTGTTGACCAAAAAAAAAGATCTCACACTAGCTAGCTGATTAAGTAATGGGCCAAATTAGTTTGGGCCTTAAGAGCCCGAGACGAGCAAGGGAAAGGAAGAAAAGCTAAACCCAAACGGCCAAACGCAATCGAGACTTGTCGAAGAAGCCTTGCCCCCAATCGTCTTGTATAATTTGGTTGTGGCGCTTCTTTCAATTAGTTTTCATTTTCGCCATTTCCCTCCAGTCGCAAGCTCTTCTTTTTTGTTTGCTCTCTCGCTTTCTCTGAGTGCCTTGAATCTGTTCTGACTGAGAGCGATGACGACGATGGAGCAGCGTAGAAACCAGAATGCTGTCCAACAACAAGACGATGAAGAGATCCAGCACGGCCCTTTCCCCGTCGAACAGCTTCAGGTTCAATTTGTTCAGATTTTGTCATTTGTCGTAGAATTTTACCTTCGTGGTGCATAAGCTTCACCAGATCTTGCGTTAATCGAAATGGGTTCGGCTTGAATCCACTAAAGATCTCTGCTTTTTTTATTTTCCCCTACACTGTGTTCGTTTTCGCGATGTGAAATAAGTGTGAATCTGCGCGGGAATTGGGTTTCGCTACAGTCTGTAGAGCAAAAATGTTTTAGGGTTTCGATAAAGTTGACCCTTTTTGGGTTTTTTTTAGACTTAGGCTGATACATGTTCTAGCCGTTCCATTCTGGGCAACTTCTCTCTTGTTGTGTCTCCATTGTCATATAATCTCTCAATTCATTTAATTTGTGATCATAAAGGGAGATGAATTTGTGTTTTTTGTTCTTCTGGTTAGAGTCTTATGCGTTATTTAGTATTTCATCTCTTTAATCCTGCAAAACTTCAGGCGGCAGGTATAGCTTCTGTTGATGTAAAGAAGCTTAGGGATGCTGGTCTCTGTACTGTTGAAGGTGTTGCTTATACTCCAAGGAAGGATCTCTTGCAGATTAAAGGAATCAGTGATGCCAAGGTTGACAAAATCGTAGAAGCAGGTATGTCACATTAATTTTTTTAGCTTTCCTTCTCTGATTAATACATAACACCTCTTTGATACTTTTAGAGTTTATGTGTGTCTTATCTGTGTTTTGTTCTGTGACAGCTTCAAAGCTGGTTCCTCTAGGTTTCACTAGTGCAAGTCAGCTTCATGCCCAGAGACAGGAGATCATTCAGATTACATCTGGATCAAGGGAGCTTGACAAAATTCTTGAAGGTTGGTTCTGAGTATAAGTACATCTTAAAACGGCCGTTTTTACTAATTCCATCTTACTTGGCCATGTTCTCAACAGGAGGAATTGAAACTGGATCCATCACTGAGTTATATGGTGAGTTCCGCTCTGGAAAGACTCAGTTGTGCCATACGCTATGTGTAACTTGTCAAGTAAGAACCCTTTTTCTAAACTTACCTTTTAGCTATTGTTGCTTATATAGCAGTAATGATCTTGAATTTCTTCTTACACTTTCTCAAAACTGAGAAAGATATTCACATTAAGGTTTACATGTTCTATATTAGCTTCCCATGGATCAAGGAGGTGGAGAGGGAAAGGCGATGTACATTGATGCCGAGGGAACATTCAGGCCACAAAGGCTCTTACAGATAGCTGACAGGTATGTTATCTTTGTAACACACGTGAGATAACAAAGGGGTTATTGAGACAGAATAATCTGGAAATAATCAATTAAAATGTTGCAGGTTTGGACTAAATGGAGCTGATGTACTTGAAAATGTTGCCTATGCAAGGGCGTATAATACTGATCATCAGTCAAGGCTTTTGCTTGAAGCAGCATCAATGATGATTGAAACAAGGTGTGCTAAGTTTATTTTTGGTGTTCAGTTCCATTATGTCTACCACGAGAGTGCTAACTGTGAAAGTTATGATTACCGTATTGGCGCACAGGTTTGCTCTCATGATTGTCGATAGTGCTACGGCTCTCTACAGGACAGATTTCTCAGGAAGGGGAGAGCTTTCGGCTCGACAAATGCATCTTGCGAAGTTCTTGAGAAGTCTTCAGAAGTTGGCAGATGAGGTGAACATTCTCAGTAATAGTAACTGTTTCCTTTCCAGAATATCTTTGAGACATCATCCTGAAGTATTCCATCTTGTGTTTAGTTTGGTGTGGCAGTTGTTATAACAAACCAAGTAGTTGCGCAAGTAGATGGTTCAGCTCTTTTTGCTGGTCCCCAATTCAAACCAATTGGTGGAAATATCATGGCTCATGCCACCACAACAAGGTCTGTAATGTTTGCAAATTAGATGAATCCTTGTTAGTTTTTGGGGTCATTGGTAAATTGTGTTTGTTAAACAGGCTGGCGTTGAGGAAAGGAAGAGCAGAGGAGAGAATCTGTAAAGTGATAAGCTCGCCATGCTTGCCAGAAGCAGAAGCTCGATTTCAAATATCTACAGAAGGTGTAACAGATTGCAAGGATTGATGTTTTTGGTCATACAGCGCCTCGCTTCTCTACCTTTTTGCGAACCCTTCACTTGTAATAGATGTCAAATAATCATTTTCTGTCGATCATTGTGTAAGCGTACAAGTAGTTTGATGATAGAGCAAAAAGAGCTTTGTAAGTAGTGTTTTCGGAAGTTGCTACCTTTTCTCTCAGTTTGTGTTTCACAAACGCACAAAAATTACCGTGTCAACCATCATCAATGTTTAACCAAAAGAGTGGTTGTCGTTGATGAGAGAGTTTTTATTCTAGGGAATTTTATGTAAAATGCCACTTTCAAAACTCAAACTTTTAAAACTGCCATTTTCAATTTTGTATTTTGTAAAATGCCATATTCATTTTTATTGTAAAATAAAAAGACAAAAATGCCCTCAAAGAAAGAAGACAAAAAATCTGACATAAACCAATTATGGACATTAATTAATAGACAAGTTTTTTTTTTTGCCGATACTCTTTGCTTTTACTATATACGTATAATGGACAATAAATTAAGAAACAAAAAATGAACATACTACATACATCAGATCTAGTCTATCAACGCACAAATGTGTGATCGAAAGTGTATACCTAGATGGATCATTGATGATATCTTCCATAGATGCATCATTTGTTTTATCTTCTGCTTAATTTCTTGTGGTTTCAAGAAATCTGTAGGATGGACAAGTTTGGTCTACCGATTCTGGTCCACCAGATCTGGTCCATCAGAACTGTTTATGGTCCGCTGTAACTTCTTCACCTGATATGATCCACTGAAGCTGGTTTGCCGGATCTGATACTCCAGAATTGGTCCATCGAAACTGGTCTGTCATATCTCGTCTATCAGATATGGTCTATTGAGACTGGTTATATTCCGCTGGAACTGGAACTGGTCCGCCGGAACTGGAACTGGTCCGCTGGAACTGCAACTGGTCCGCCGGAACTGGTCCACCGGAAATGGTTCGCCGAAACTAGTCTGCCGGAATTGTAGAGAGATTTGTTTGTTGTTGAAGAAAGAAAAGATGAAAGAAGAAGAGAAAGAAAGAAATAAAAAATGAAAGAAGAAGAGAAAGAAAGAGATGAGAAAAAATGAAAGAAAAGAGAGAAAGTTTGAGTGAGAGATATAATTGACATTTTAATAAATTAAAGTGGGTCCTATGGCATTTCTTAGAAGATTGGAATGAAAGTGGCATTTCTTAGAAGAAATGACACTGTTCATGGCAGAGAATACAATTTTATATTACTTACGTTCACTTTATTTTTTTCCTAAAGAAAACTTAATAGAATTTTATTGAATACAAAAAATTAATATGTTGTTTATCATTGTAAAATTATTAATTTATAGAGAAATTTGCATAATTTGTTATTACATTTTAAAATTTCTCTTTAAAAATAAGTTTTGTTCGTTATAAATTTATAAAGAAGATATTTTATAATCAATTACAAATAAGAAAACAATGATCATGTCTAGAAGACAACATCACCATCACAAGTTTTCGATGGAGTGGAATGTTCTAGAATTAATTCTAACACAATTTCATGCAAATTTTAATATATATATATATATATATATTTTTTTTTTTAAAAAAAATTAGTAAGTCATATTTTACTAAATTTTATTTATATTGATAGATTTATACAATATTTAGTATAATTTATAGATAATTAATATCACTATAACCATTTGATGCTTTGTTCCTTGATCATGTTTGTCATTGTACCATCTCAGATAATTATATTTTGTTCTGGTTCATTGACATCATCATCTCCGATATTTAAAACATGATTTGCTAGACCTTTCAATATTTTCAAAAAGAAAAAAAAAAGTTTTGGTTAGAATGAGTCATTCATGATTATAATTGTTATTAGTTAGAATATAAGAATGTGTGTGTTGAAAACAAAAATAATAGTAATAACTCAGCGAAAGTGCACCTATTCCATTAGAGTCCAGACAGCTGTGAGTATAGGCATCGTCACGGGCTCTCTTTTTTTTCTTAATATTAACGGAAAAAATCTAACTTTTTTTTTTTTGTGTTTTTTTAAAATAAAAGAGAGAGAGAGAGAAGAAATTGTGGTGATTGCGTCGTCTTTCTCTCTCTCTTCTTCCCCGATCCAATCTTCTCATTTCTTCTCGACACAAACAAAGAAAACAGCTGAGAAAACTTTTTTTTTATTTCTTCTCAATTTCTCTCTCTCTCTCTCTCTGCTGTATCATAAACCCCTTCTTCCCCCTATCTTCTTCTTCCTCATAATATCAACTTCTCTTTCTTTTGAATTTATCTTCTTCTTCTTCTGTTTCATCTTTTCGATTCTGCGAATCTGAGCTTCTTTCTTCGTTTGTTTTCAGCTTTGGAGTTTTGTGATCTCCGTGATCGGGTGTCTCTTTACTTGCTTACAAAATTTTTGTCTCGCATTTGTTCTTCTCGATTCGATAGCAGTACGAAGAATCACTATAGATTCTGTGTGTGTTCGTTTCCCCGTCGGTTCTAAGCTTTGCTCGATTGTTTGCGCAAGTCTTAGGTGTTTTTGCTTTAAAATCAACGAGCGTCGGCTCTTCCAAGACGTGGTCAAAGTTTTAGAGTATCTTTGATTTGATTTGCGTGTCAATTCAGCATTTTAAGAATTTGGAAATTGGTGAATGCTCCGGCGAGATATTTCTCTGTGCCCAGCGGCTTGGGCGTAGATCTAAATTTATTTTCAAAAGATATTGAAAAATCAGCTATATGACCTCGTCACCGTCAATGGAGAACGGGGGCTCAGCCTCCCCTGTATCATCTGCTCTTCTTGGCTGTATGCAAGAGTTCAAACTCTTCGAGACTCAATCGGTAAATAACAACGAATTCGAGTATTCTCACTGCCATTTCATTGTTTTTTCTTGTCTCCTCAGTCAGCTATGAGATCTGTGGCTCATGGATTGTCACTAAAATGATATGTTTTTTTTTGTTTGCAGAATTTCTACATGATTGGCTGGAATGGTAGTGGAGTGTATAGAATACTAAAGATAGACAGGCTCGATGCGTCTGAGCTTAATATCAGGGAGGATTCCACTGCTTATTCCAAAAAAGAATGCTACGAGTTGCTAAAAAGGATACATGAAGGGAACAAGGCGACGGGTGGACTGAAACTTGTCACTGTTTGTTATGGAATCATTGGTATGTGACTTTGTCTCAAGTTATGTTTACAGGAGGGTAGAATCCGTATATGGTTTTACTTTCCTGCTTTGTTCTCACAATTCTTTTTTCCCCGTTTATGTGCTCTCAGGGTTCATTAAGTTTTTGGGACCATACTACATGCTTCTTATAACTGAAAGAAGAGAGATTGGTGAAATTTGTGGTCACATTGTTTATGAAGTGTCAAAAAGTGAGACAATTGCATTGCAAAACTCTAGCGTGCTTAGCAACATTGCATTTTCGAGAGACGAGAACAGGTATGTTGATATATCTTTTGCTACGTTATGCGCATATATTTCAATCCCATTGCTAAAGAATAGTTCTGTTTGGTGAAAGAAAGTGCACGTCTTTAGTAAAATTGCAGCTTTCCACCCATTTTATGAACTGAAGTCATTTAACCCTTAAGTTTCTCTATCTGGTGTTTCCCACTTGTTTATAAACAGGTACAAGAGACTCCTGTGTATGGTGGACCTTACAAAAGACTTCTTTTTCAGCTATTCGTACAATATAATGCGAAGCTTCCAGAAAAATATATGCGACCATGAGAGTGGAGGTACTCTCTATAAGAAAATGTTTGTGTGGAATGAATTCTTGACTCGGGGAACCCGACATCTTCTTCGGAATACCCTGTGGACTGTAGCATTGGTGTATGGTTTTTTTAAGCAGGTGAGATTTGTATGTTTTTCTGCACCTCACTTACTACTAGAGAAAAGAAAGTTTGCCCAAATTCAAATACCACTTTTTCTTCTTACTCACAGTAGTAGTCATGTTATTTGTGTATCATTTTCTTTGGGTTACCTAAATTATGTCTTCTCTTGCCCAAAGGTCTAGAAAGTAGCTTTTTGTCTCACATGCAAAGTTTAATAGTTATGTATCAACTTTATATTCTTGAACGTGCTATTTAAGATTCAGCTATGATACTCTTCCATCTCCATTCTCAAATATCTTGAGAGTCTCACAGTACTGTTTAGATTTATGGATGCTCAAACTTGTTTTGCTGTGAATGTAGACAACACTCTCTGAAGCCGGACGGAATTTCAAACTCACTCTTATTGCTAGGCGTTCTCGCCATAATGCTGGAACCAGGTATCCGATTTCATTACTCCATAGTTTCCGTTTCTGTGGTATCATGACTACTATAACTCGTTCTGTATTCTAACCTGTACATAAAATAAGTTCAAATAAATCCCACACTGATAATCACATAAGAATACATGCGCTAGCATTGTGCAATATATGTAGATCCAGGGTTCTTCCAGCATTAATGAGAGTTAAACTAGACATTTTTACTTCAGCTGGTTATTATAATTCTTTTTTCTAAACACTCCCATTTGATTTTAGGTACTTAAAACGCGGAATAAACGAAAGTGGCAATGTTGCTAACGATGTGGAAACAGAGCAGATAGTGTCAGAGGACGTTCCTGCAGACTGTCCCATGCAAATAAGTTCTGTTGTACAGAATCGTGGCTCAATCCCTCTATTCTGGTCACAAGAGACCTCACGGATGAAAGTTAAGCCTGATATAGTATGTAAGTGTCATCCATACTAAATATACTGCGTGGTCATCTCTCTCCATCCCTCTCTTTTCTTTGTGTTTGAACATCTCAATGTCAATCTCAGTGTCAAAAAGGGACCTGAACTATGAGGCAACTAGACTTCACTTTGAAAACCTTGTGGAGCGATATGGAATCCCCATCATCATTCTGAACTTGATCAAGGTACGTTGCCTAATGTACTTTTTTCACGTTCTTATTATCTTACACGCCTAAATCATCACTCCCCTGGGTACTTTTTGTATTAGCAAGTGATGCATCTTCTTACACCGTAATCTAGTTAAACTATCATTGAAATGAACTACTGTATGTGCATTATACTTTGATGCTCTCACACTTCAAGCTTTTACTGATGTCTCCTGTGACTTTTGACAATCAATAGACCAAAGAGAGGAAACCCAGGGAGTCGATTCTCCGGGCAGAGTTTGCTAATGCAATTGACTTTATAAACAAAGATCTGCCAGAAGAAAATCGGCTTAGATTCCTCCACTGGGATTTGCACAAACATTTTCACAGGTATCCAATTACGTTCCAGCTGCTTCAAATGATGAAATATCTATCAATACATTTTTCTATAAAACCAGTTTTCTCTCTTCTTTGTCTTTATTTCAGCAAAACGGAAAATGTATTGGCACTTCTTGGAAAAGTAGCTGCCTGTGCATTGATGTTAACAGGTTTCTTTTATTATCAACTTACACCAGCCATGAAGCTTGAGGGTTATATGAGCTTGTCTTCTTCTGAGTAAGCCTCTTTGCTTGAGTTCCTGTAACATGTTTATCATAGAAATTCTTCTCCAATTTATATGTTGCAGTTAGTTTTTAAGATGAACCTTTTCAAAGTAGTACATGGAAGTATTCTCCTAGTTTAAAAGTCTTTTCGTGGTTATCTTCCTGCCAATGTGGAGAACTTATTAAGTGTCACCAATTATCCATTATTTTTCTTACTCTGTGAAAATTGGTAAATAGCATACATCAATTACTTGGTGGAAAATGATGCTAAAATTTTTCTATTAGAAAATTTATAGTAACCACTTATAGTCCTAATGTCTTAAAATTGCAGTGCCGATATGTCTCCACATAATAGTTCTGATGATGATAGTGGGGAATATGATTCCTTAGAGAAGAATTTTCGCCAAAACCAGAATGCTGCAAATGGCGATTATAGTAAGCCTATTAAGCTCCAGAGGGGAGTGCTGAGGACCAATTGCATAGATTGCCTTGATCGTACAAATGTTGCCCAATATGCATATGGTTGGGCTGCTTTAGGGCAACAACTTCATGCTTTAGGAATTAGAGATGCTCCAACTATAGAACTTGATGATCCTTTGTCTAGTACTTTAATGGGGTTATACGAGAGAATGGGAGACACACTAGCTTACCAATATGGTGGATCTGCAGCCCACAATAAGGTAATTCTATTTTTTACTTTATTTGTATAAGTTTGGGCACTGTCATATTCATATTAAATCTTCTGCTAGAGACAGTTAGTTGATACTAAATTCTGGGTTGTTAATTATGTACAAAATAGATTCCATTTTAGTCTCAGTTAGGAACGATTCATGACTGGTTCCATGAGATGAAATATATCCCTTTTCTCTTCAACAGTTTTTGTTATTCGGAATTAAATAACAAGCGTTGCCTTTTTAAAAATAAATGTAAGCTCATGAAAATCTAGTTTCATGCATGCTGATACACCATCTCTTAGATATGAACCTGTCTGTAATTGACACTTTTCAACTGACATTATTCTTATTATGATCGGATTCTTAAGTTAGAAGCAGCATGTAGATAATAAGTAAATATTAGAATGGTATTTCTCATAAAACGTGTGGTTTTTATCATTTCGATGATATTGGTCTTTGATGCACAAGAATACGAGGGACCCTTGCTATGTCACCCATGTTATATCTCAATCACAATTATCTTATTTCGCAAAAGGATATCGGACGTCAGTCAAAATTCCTTTTGTAATCTGTCTCATTATCCTGCACTGAATTATGATGTTTCGATCCTCTGCAGCCGACTCAAGTTATAATTTAGTTCACTTTTGTTGGATACACTTTGTTGATTCCTAGAATTTTCTCGTGTGCGATAGGTTTTTAGTGAGAGGCGAGGTCAGTGGAGAGCAGCAACCCAGTCACAAGAGTTCTTGAGGACTCTGCAACGTTATTATAATAACGCATATATGGATGCGGATAAACAAGATGCCATTAATATGTAAACTTGTCTCTGCCACTCTCTCGTATGTATCCCTGTTATGCGATGATCTCCCAGAGTCTTACAGAAATTCTTTGGGCCTTTTATGTATGCAGATTTCTTGGTACTTTCCGGCCTGAACAAGGGAGGCAGGCGGTTTGGGAGTTGCGTTCAGATTCCCACTCTAATGGACGAAGTGGAGAGATAAACATGGGGGAAGATGAAAGGTAGGTTTGGTGACTGCAAAATTGGATTTCAGAGATTCCTATAATTAGCATATAAAATTTGTTGCTTCCATGTTGGTAGAAAGGTTTTGACAGTTCCATTTTCTTCTTTAGACATATTTTGATGATTGCATGAGTTATACAAATTTGAAAAAATATGCTCTACGTATTTTGACATTGTCCGTTCACTGGAATGTTATATCTCCACCGTAACTTCTAATTTAGATCCTGTGAAACTGTTGTGGCCCTAATCATATAAAATTATCATATGATTTAGACACAAGGCGGTTGGGGCTTTTGTTATAGACTTATGGAGTCATGGGAAACTAGGATTGGTTTAATAACTGCGTTGAACTACCTTAATCTGTACTCTCTACATGTTGGATTTGCTCTCTTTTTTTTGGTATATAGATATTTCATCTTTATTAGCCTCGTCTATAAGTGCACAAAAATATTTCGACTTTGTTTCGCTACATCTACGATCATAGCTCTTATTACCATGTTTCCAGGTTTCTTGTGAAGAGGTGCTTATCAGATGGAAATATTCTCCATGAAAGTCACACTCCGATGTCTGCAATGAGTAGAAAGAATGAAAGCATGTCACATAAAGGCTTTGTGTCGTCACACCAAGTAACTCATATAATTTCAGAGTCATCACCAGATATGCCAGCTGCCGGTGATGTAACATTATCGAGGTTTGTTCAAATCTTTGTAGCATTTTTTCTTCATTATAGCTCATATATTCATGAGGTGGTTGTTTTTATGCTTCATGTAGTGATTTTGTGTGTGCTAGTACATAGTAAGATTTGTCTCTCTTCTTGGTCTTAAAATTCAGCTATAACATCTTTGTAGGTGTACTCCGTCAAGGCCTAGCACATATTTTTTTGGAGATGCCCAAAAGGTTCAGTATAATGGTAGTAGCTCCATTTACTTGTCTGAGCAAGAAGATATGTCTAGTGTCTCAAATTTCGTTGATATTGAGTGGCTTTCGTCGTCAGAAAATCTATGTGAGAACGATCAATTGTCCAGGTAAAATTACTATGCATTTAAGAGATTAATTTACGTTTAAGTCGTCAATGGAGGAACCAAATCTCGTTACATAGAAGTATAATTTTTTTACATCAATAGCATTTATCTGCCATCTATCTAAAACTCAGTTGATTATGTTCCGTCCAAAAATGTCAAACTAAAATTTTTAAATGTCCATCTGCGTAGGCTTTTTATTCACCATTTTGACTAATAGAACAACAATAGCCTATTCCCATGAGTGATCAACAGTTTTTCTAATCATGATTTAGTCAATTATCTTACGTATAAGGTAAGGAAATTCACATTGCGTTCTTTTGGCAGGCCGTCAGCGGTTACAATATATTCAACCGCCGAGATATCTTCATCAGAAAATATTGTGGCTGAAAGAAAACAAACGACGCTAGCTATGAACAAGAGTGGATCAAGCAGCAGGAAGGTCAGTTTTTATATACTACTTTTACATATATCTCCCTAGCAAGTTATGTACAGTGAGAGTCGTTGTTAGTGTTACTTGAATAAGCATGCCTGACGTCCTTTCTGACATCTAGCTCATACCATTGGCTAAAACTAGAATCACGGAAGTTAGTCTTTAACGAGTTCAGATTGGATACTGATGCTAGAATAAGATTTAACTAGCAGAGGATATCTAATAGCTGAACCTGTCAGGCTGTCACAAATAAACGGATTTTTACTCCTATTTACGAATTTTTCGGGTGAAGAATTTCAGCAGTGATTTTTATATGATCTCACTGTACGCGATGGATTGAAAGTCATATATTGTCATTTGGTTACTTCACTTGAAACTTAAACGAAGTTGTTGTTTCCTTGGCAGGGAAAAGAACCTATGGGAGCCGAGCAATCTGTACACACGACGATTCGCGATGATTTCCCAGACAGCTTCAAGCAATGGGTAGCGTACGGGGAAGCACTCTGCCATTGAAAGATCTCTCAACCGTCCATATCCAACAAGAACATATTTTACCTTCACCATACTTAAGGTCTTCTGGACATTTGGGTATTACGGTACAAACATGGAGAAGCGACTGGTAGAGAGATTCGCAGTACCATGTATTTGATATTTCTCAGTGACAGACTGACGACCGATACGATCAACACAGATGAGAACTATTAAGAGGAGCAAATACTAAAGTAGCCGAGAAGTTTTGAGTTTGCAGTCTTGCAGAGAAAATAAAAGGGAAATTTCATGTTTAAGGGGAGAAACTTGTGATATAGCCTGAGGCTAATGTTAGGGTCTATTATATATTTTTGTTTGAGGTCTGTTGTAAATATATATATGTTTGGTTTTAAACCCATCATATAAGCTCTGTTCTGTTAAAAAAATAAATCCATTTTTATCATCTGTTGTTGGCATAGACACGCACCTGCTCTTATGTAGAGAGATATTGCTGGCCTGCCATCTCATTGGTTTTAGAACTAATCTTCAAATTGTTGAGAGGATCTCTCTGCCCTTGTCCTTAGTTTTGGTGTTGAACCAACAAAGTTGCAAATTGTTACGAAAACTTTCAAGGACTCGCATTGCCTAAATAAATGCTGTTCCGTCAAAATTAAATCAGACCAGATGATTTGTCTTTTTGAATAACATATACAGAAACTGTTTGATGTGAATGATGTTGCAGAACATTATTATTTGTTTGTTTTTCATTGTTCCTTAAAGAGACAGATTCCTAATTCTTCTATCCCTATTATTTCAAATTTATATTAAAGAAAAGATTGTCCTTGATATAGAGAAACGCTAGAACGACACTCGAAGATAAAACCAAAGCAGTACAGTATTATTATTTTCTCTAGTCTTATATTCCGAAGGAATATTTTCAGCATGTATCATGTGAGGAAACTGAATAAAAAAGGAGTTAAGAACCAGATGTAAGTATGAAGATGATTCTCATAGCTTCTGTGAAATGCTAGAAGTTCTAGAACACAAAAAAAAACATATCATAAACACACGTAAGGTGAGAGAAACAAATCTGACACATGGATTTGTCTCTGACGAAATATATACATTGTCTAGATCATGTTATCATATGCATTATGCAATGTCATACATATTTGCGTCTTTTGATGAATAGAAAAATGCGAACACTCCAATTTTAAAGAAAGAAAGAAAGAAAAAAACAAACATGCATGATAGATATGAGATAGATATATCGTGGTTTGTTCAAGAAAATGATGGATGATTGAATATAGCAAAAACCCTTTATACTATTTTGTTGTTGCTTGAACCTGTAATGATCTATTCCTGAAAATTAGGCAAACCTAATGGAAAATCATGTAACGTTTGACAACTACCTAAATATCAAATAGAAACTTCATATTTTCGATTAAAATGATGAAGATGATGGTTGGAACAAAAATGGTAAAAAAATATCAATTCAAAATTTGGTAAAATATCTAATTTAACATAGTTTTACCTCATACTATTATTTTAATATGTCAAAATGACTCTTGTCATGAAACAAAGTATATATGTACTTCATATTTCTTCCCAAAAAAAAAAAATGTTTGTCATATAAAGTTTTGATACAAATACACTTGTTTACTTGAATAATTCTTCATTTTTTTACTGTTTATCGTAATTATTTCGCTCCAAAAGAAAAGAAAAGAGAAAAATGTTAACCGAAAATTTTCGTAACACTTAAAAAAAAACTTAAGATGTTTTCTTGGTTAGTTAAGAATTTTATTCGTCCAACAAGCTAAAAATTAGTTCAAACAAACTAAAAGATTAGTTGAATCGTAAAATATTGATTTGAAAGATTACTACCGTAAATTAATCAATTAACTTACATTATGCAATTTACACAGAGGCCCACAATAAAAAAAAAGTTGCTCTCTCGTAACATTCATCGAAACATAATGATTCAATCTATACCTTTAAATATGTGAGAGGGTTGGGTGGGAAACTCTATTGCTAATTGGCATTTAGGCAAATTAGCCCAAAATGTCATTATGATTCAATAGCAAAGCATCACTTTATAAAGATTTGTTCTACTCCTTCGACATTTGAGTTTTTTTTTTTTTTCAGTTTACACAGTTCACACAAAATGTTAGAAAGAACATAAAATTTGAAACAAAATTAGAAAGTGAAAAAATGTGAAATATGAAAGATAAATGAAAGGTGTTAATGGGTAGAGAAAAAAATAGATTTATCTATCTACCCATCCTTCATCTAAATTCTTTGCACGACGAGACAGACACATACCGCTTTCACCAACCTCAAAAGTCAAAACCATCCCACAGATTATATAACAGTGGACTGTGGTTAGTGGACCAAAAAACTATTACTTTTTACGTACGAAACTGAATTAATCAAATCGTTATTGGACACTCTTAATACAAAATTATTATAACACAAACTCAACTTTGTTGTTTCATTTTATCCAAAGTCGGTGGAAAGCCACGTCACAATCAACCATTGCTATTTGCCTCGTCCTGGTCTTGGCCCTCCTGTTTTGTGTGTTTGGTAGTAGCTCCTAGATTCACTAATACCGTCGGTCCACGTGAAAACTCTCCTTCTACTCCGGCGACACGTGGTCGTATACCACCAAATTGGGGTTATGCATACAAAAGGAGTATGGACAAACCATTTTACAATTTTTGTGTTTATTATGTCTCCAAGTAGTGCTTCCCATCAAAACAAATAATATTCAGTACTGGCCAATGGTATAATTAATAACTTAGCAAATGGATGTGACAAAACCATATATAAAAGTGTCCCTTCTGGAACTTCCGATAAAACTGGATTACAAACCATTAACGGAATTTTATTAAAACCGGAACACAATAATGGTGCTACTGAAATAAATTTGTTAAAAGAGATTTTATTTTCAAGCAAAGTGATTTTGACACTACCGTTGAATATCATATCACAAAAACATATATATTTTACAGAAAATAAAATATAAAAAACTAATTTTAATAGGTAAACTAGTGAGTTTTAATTCTTGTGAGTTAGACATAAATCATTCCATCAAACATATGATAACAAAAAAAAAGGGTGATAACTTATAAAAAGTAATAGAAAATATGTGGAATCACGTGGAAAAGTTATATAGTATATTTCATTTATATGGGTTACTATCATTAATCATCAGTAATATTTTTCAAGTCGCACCTAGAAATGGTTAGATACGGACAAAGCTGTTCATGGATCAATGAGTTTAACTCGATTCTGTAAGACCTAACTAGAAATGTCTGTTCATGGATCAATGAGTCTAACTCGATTCTGTAAGACCTAACTAGAAATGTTTGTTCATGGATCAATGAGTCTAACTCGATTCTCTAAGACCTAACTAGAAATATTTGTTCATGGACCAATGAGTCTAACTCGATTCTGTAAGACCTAACTAGAAAACTACGTATGCAAAAAAGTACGATGCTAGCTTCCGGTAATTGCAGAGTGATCATTGTCACGTCCGTCTCTGTAATGTCGTACTAAATGTATACTGTACACACATCAATTTTGTTACTATGCCATACTTTTTAGAGTTTAGATGATGAGTTTTAGTTATTGTTTTCCTTATATGATTTTTAGTGAGCTATTTTCCCATCCATTCTTCTAAAGTCATAAAATATATGAGAACCAGTTAACATAAAAATACTTTTTGCATTTATTCACAATGAAATATAAGCTAATACTTGTACTTATCATATTTTTAGTCGAAAATTTTCAACCAAAACGTTTATTACAATGTTTCCATTAATTGAGTCAAATTTACGTAAGTTTGAAAAAGTTTGGTTTTTATTTTTATGATATGGCAAACTATTTCTCATTGTGGTTTTAAATATTCTGTGTGTGTGTGTGTAAAAACTATTTTCTTATTTGTCAAGTATTTGATAGATAGATAGATAGATAGATAGATATCATTATTAGCATTTATGTAAATGTTTAGTTAATCCAAAAAAAGTTTAGTTAATCCGATATCTTGTCTATTTAAGGGGGTAGTGGATTATACAATTAAGGAATTAGGAAATATACACAATTCCAGAACTTTCTCCATTTCCTAAAATGCCCTTTACATTGGACTCTTAAAATCCATAAATTTTATATATTATAGTATTTTCTGGGTTTGGAGCCCAAGAAATGAAAACGTAAAACGAAACAGAGGAAGTAATGATTCATTTGATCAACTTTACCAAAATTTACATCCAAGCTTTAAGAAATCGTTCTCTTCTCTCTATAAATCTGAAAACATATTGAACGTAAACTTCATATCATAGCTCTCTCACTCAAACCACTTCTCTACTACAGTCCAGGTTCTCTTCTTCTTTTAAATTTTTTTGTCTATTGCATTATTTTTTAAAAAAACCATGTTAGCAGAACAAGAATTTGTTTTCTTCTTTGTTTATGTTTCTGGAGAAAGAAAAGATGAAACAAACAACAACTTGTCCCTTTCCTTAGAAAATTCTTGCCTGAAAAATCTCTGGTTGAAATAAACAACAAAACACCTTTTATATTCTTAAGAACCAGTCGTGCTTTGTATTCTATTTTCTCGCTTTCTTTTTTTTTAAAAAAAAATAAAAATTTCTAGGAATATAGAATTTTTCCAGCTGTGTTGCAAAATAAAAAGAATATATAAAGTCCAACATTTTCTTTAATTTAACTAAACATTTTCGGAAAATTCTTTTGCATTATAAATCATGTTTTTTTTTTTGAAAAGAAATACTCCAAATATGGAATCCACTATAGAGACATTTTTTTGACGGTTCAAGAAACTAAAAATATATAGGGATGTTTTTTAGTTTTTTCTTTAGTTTTGCCCATCAATTATAATGTCTTTTAATGTTATTGTATGACGTGTACCAGGATTCTTATATTTGTCTTTATTTTATAAATGTATACTAGCATCCACTTTTCTTTTATATGAGTCACGCTTTGGATTTAATAAATTTGACAAAGATGTTTTTGTTGTAAAAAAAGATTCGTAATCACACACACACCTATTGCTTTTACAAAATGGATGGTGGATAGAAGAAATGTTTTTAACGAAACTAATACTTATGAGTTTTGAGATGGATAAGATTGTTCTCAGAACCATCATTTTCCATTTTGTAAAACGTCAAATTCTATGTCGGCTCGAGTTATATTTTTAATGGTCTATTGAAAACTTAGGATCCCTAAATAAGTTTTTAAATACAAACGAATACTGATTCTGGTTTCGCCATGTGTACATGTAGAGGTCCAAGTTCTTGAATATAATAATATAACCTGACCTTGTAGTGTAGGCTTGTTTCGTAATAACTTTGGACTCTTTAAGGTTAAAAGAGTCACGCCTTGGAATAAGTTTTTCTTTGACTTTTAGTTATAATATCTTTGACGTTTATATAATATCTAAAGTCTATAGTT